CTACAGCTGGCCTTCTTGTTAACTTGCTGGCAAAGAAAGTCAGCAGTACAATGCTGGAACTATTGCCAATTTGTTTTACTTCTTATCTCCTAATAATATTACTTCTACACCCTTTTGTGTTATCTTAAGCAAACTTTGGTGCACCACATGTAAACTTGATGTTGTCCTAGCTGCTCTTAGGGCCCCTGCAGGTATTCCAATTGGGCCGTATCTGCCACAGCACCTAACACAGAGTTCCTAATGAGTTCCCCTATTGATTTCATAGAGATATTAAATAACATAAGATGGAGTCCTGTAGCAGTCCAGAGTTGGGGTGACATGTTTCAGACTATTCCTCTTTTATTTTAATAACTCTGAATCAAATCAAATAGATTTAACTGAAATCAATATGTAACTAAAATATGTACACAAATATGCCCTAGTACAATACATCTTTGAAGGTCATGCGTACATTGGACAAAAAATCAAATAAGAATATGAATATTGTATTGTTAAACAGTACATTAATTTTAGTGTTATTTGGAATGGCTTTATATAGCATTCGATCAGTTTGTGATGTATAAGCAGATAACTGTTCCGCTGTTTCAGGAATCCCAATAAACCTGAGTCCTGAATACCTTACTGGCTATGTAAATTCTCTCTACTCTGTTTGAGAAGCTGTTGCAGCTTTCAGCAGAAAATGAAGAGTTCCAGGGTTCATCCACATTGTAGAATGAATGCCACACTTGACACCACTTTAACTTCCATGGCTCAATCCTGGTGGTTTGTAGTTTGGCAGAGAAGGCTTGAGACCTTGAAAACATACAGTTCCTTGTAAAACTACAACTCCCAGGATTCCATTGCATTAACCATAATTGTTAAAGTTGTGTTAAACTGCATTAATTCTACAATGTCGTTCAGGCGTCTTCAATCTATGGCCCTCCAGCTGTTTGGAGCTCCAACTCCCAGAAGCCCTGGCCAGCTTGTTCAGAGGTCAAGAATTCTGGAGATAGTGGCTTGAACAGCTGGAGGGTTGCAGTTTGAGGATGTCTGGTGTAGATGCACCACCAATTAAGCTATACATGCTGAAATTGTGACTTCTTGTACTGTTATATGGCTTTGGATAATCCATGTGGGGGATTGCCAGGAGGAACCATCCACCACATATTTCCCCTAAATATTCTTGTATCACAGGTTTGTGTCATTAGTAGTTGAATCGACTTTATAAGCTTTCATTTTCTTCTTAGCTTTGAATATTCAGATATTGACCTTTTATTTAATTTAGCTAAAATGGAAGATCTGTTAAAATAGCTCTCTCTGCATACATCCAAGTGAATAAACATGTTTTTATACTAATACTATTTTTCCCAATAGATTCTTTGTTTAGCTGAGCAAATTCAGTTCACAGAAGATGTTGAATATGCAATTAAGGAATGCAATTTGCAACAGATAGAATTAGAACTAATGGCTAAATTAGAACATTATACCAGCATAGACACCAATACAGAAGATTCAAGTAATGCAGGTATGTAAAAGATTAACAGGTCTGTTTTTCAGACTGATTGGAAAAGAAACTGCATATATGAAACACACCTTGTTGTTATTCATTACATTAATAATTTTGTTACTTTAATTACATGGGTATAATGTAATATCGGATTACTGTGATTTGTCCAACCTCTATCCTTTTTGATAATATACTTGTCATTGCATATCATTTCCTGTACCTGGTAATTTAGAACAAAAGGTCTGCCATTGTATCTTAAGACTGCAAATTTCATTGAATGAGGGAGATGTGAAATTCTTATACAGTCTAGAGAAGGGAGATTTTAATTGCTGATAGTGGCCTATCGACAGTAAGAAAGGGAGTGGCAGGAATATTTAAGTTGGCAAAATGGGTATGGCACGTTGTGGTCTATTGATATTTGAGAGGATTTGGAAGGACATGCAGTGGCATGTGGTAAAAAGTTGAAATAATTGTATTCTTTCCTCAGAGTCTGGAAGTTATTCAAGCCTAGAATGTAGGGAAGTTTTATTTGTTTTGTGTCAAAAGCATTGCATAAATAAGTATAAAACTGATAAAAGTAGAGGAAACACAAGCGGTTAAATAATTTTTGACTAAAAACGGGCAACAGCAACCACATTGTCTGTAGCCTTAAACAGTTCTTCTATACATGAGACAGGACATTGTGGACAAGCATACATATTCAGAGTTGTTTGTTCTGCTCCACAGTTGCACAAGGTGGAGGATTCTTCTAGGTAGTGCCATTTTGCCAGGTTGCCTTTTGATCAGCCCACTCCACTCCTGAGTCTATTCAGGAACTTCCAAGTCATCCATTCTTGGTTTGCCCCTGGAGGCAGGCCCACATGGGAGGTCATCCATTTGGGATTTCCTGGTTTAGCTGCCCAGAGGGATACTCTTGCTGTTGCTGGGGGAACATTAAGAGGAAGTAGGGAAGTAGTGCTAGTGAAGTGATCCTTTGGCAGATAGATGTGAAATTGCGCATTGGAAGTAGATGACTAAAAGGATTTAAAAAACATGACTACAGTTTTAATGTTTTAATTCTTTTATTATCCTTTACCCTTAAGCATAAATTGTAAGAATATAATGGGAAAAAATAAAGATAGTCTATTTGTTAAAGATTACTATAATATAATTTTACTTTTTCCCCAGAGACTGGAATTCTTGAGCTGAAGCTTAAAGCTCTTATTCTTGATGTTATTCATAACATTGATATCGTACAACAACTAAATGAGGCCCAGACCAACAGTGTAGATGACTGGGCTTGGAAGAAACAACTCAGATTTTATCTTAAAGATAAAAAATGTTACATTCAAATGGTGGATGCTGAACTGCAGTACACATATGAATATCAGGTACTGATTTTACATTTCGAAGACCCTTTTCCAATGGCCTAAATAGTTTCCTTCATGTGTAAATAACGTGTGTGTGTGTAAACTCTATTATTCTGCCTGAATGTCTTGGGGGGAAAAAACCTTTAACAGAAAACTGCTTTGTTTTCATGCTTTACTTTTGCCTTCCTTAATTGTGTAACAACTTAACGGTTTTGCAAGATAAATTTGTACAAATATGGACATTGCACATTTCCATAATTTTAAGCATATTTTGTATTTATTAATTAGGGGTTGGTTATTTTATTGGCTGTGTTACATGCCAATGTTTAGGTTGCCATATAATTTAAATCACATTTTATTTAATACTGTTCGTATTTTATGTATATAGGGTAATTCTCCAAAGCTTGTTTACACACCACTGACTGACAAATGTTACCTCACGCTTACACAAGCTATGAAGATGGGCCTTGGAGGAAATCCTTATGGTCCTGCTGGTACTGGGAAAACAGAATCTGTAAAGGCTCTTGGAGGTTTGCTTGGAAGACAAGTTTTGGTTTTTAATTGCGATGAAGTGAGTAATACATACTACTAACAATATTCATACTTCGGGATGTAGCCTTTATGAAGTCCTAAATGGCCTGGATTGCCTAACATAAATCTCACTGTTTGAGATGTTCTTCAAACATACCTTTTTATGGACTCTCACTTTTGGAGTTCAGAAGAAAAAAAGCTTTCTGAGGCTTGGGTACCTAAACGCTGCAAATTCTCCCTGGAGACATTTGCCAGTGTTTTAGCACTGTGCAAATGCTGTCCTGTTCTCTCAGTGTAATTTTTATTTTAAAAAGATATATGTGCTTTTAATTGCTTTTTCTTGCTTTTGTCTAAATGCTTGATTTTGCTTTCATATTATGTTTTTCATTTTCTATGTTTTTGTGTTTTCAGCACTTTTTCATATTTTACTAATTTATCAATTTACTCAGAGATTCTATTTGCTGATTTCTTTGCAAGACTCCTTGAAACCATGTTGTGAAAGGCAAGATCTTAAATCAATAAAGTTCTTAAATTAATAAAGTTAAACAAAATATGCAAATATATGGGGGGTTGTGTCAGGAGCAACTTGAGAAACCAAAGCAAGTATATGGTGCCATTGTGGATATTATTTTATCCTGCCCCCACAAGTGTGTCATGAGAATAAAAGTGGGTTGTGGACTCACCTGTTATCTTCATTGAAGTTTTCCTACCTGAACTAACTGCCTTCACTTACTTTATAAGGGCATCGATGTGAAATCAATGGGGAGAATCTTTGTTGGTTTGGTGAAATGTGGAGCCTGGGGCTGTTTTGATGAGTTTAATCGCCTGGAGGAAGCTGTGCTCTCTGCTGTATCTATGCAAATCCAGACGATTCAGCATGCTCTGAAGAAACACCGACCTGTGTGTGAATTGCTTGGAAAGGAGGTATAGTATCTTAAGTCCTCTTTTGCTTACCCCTGTGTTGTAAGACTGTAGAGGAGACATATATTTCATTGGCAAATACCTTAGTCCAGCCTAGGAAAATGGAAAAAAAAGTCTCACGATGAGACTACTTTGCTGAAAGGGTGGAGAGCTCAGATGTCTGCTTTTTGGGAGAGCCTTATGTAAGAGGAGTCCCCTGCACACATGGGTACATGGTTAGCAATGCTATCAACTCACCTAATTTGTTCAATTTTAATTGTGACAGTTTCACATTAACAGTTGGTCCAACTTTTATACTAAAGACTTTGTATGTTGTCTCCCTCCAGCAAAGGATCACCGCCTTGTCGGGGCGCTGGAGCTTGAGCACCTCAATGATGTCATGAGCGAAACCGTGAAGGGACACCCAAGACGGGACGGTTGTGGCAGAGAGGTCAGACCAAGTGTGATCCCTGGGGAAGGCAATGGCAAACCACTCCAGTATCCTTGCCAAGAAAACTAAATGGACCAGTACAACCAGAGATATGTCGGTATGCCATTGGAAGATGGGACTCCCAGGTCGGAAGATGGCCAAAATGCTACTGGGGAGGAGCAGAGGATAAGTTCAACTAGCCCCAGATGTGATGACGCAGCTAGCTCAAGCCGAAAGGAAGGCTAGCGGCCGACGGTACTGGAGGTGAACGACGAATCCGATGCTCTAAAGATCAACACACCATAGGAACCTGGAATGTAAGATCTATGAGCCAGGGCAAATTGGATGTTGTTATTGGCGAGATGTCAAGACTAAGATAGACATTCTGGGGGTCAGCGAACTGAAGTGGACTGGAATGGGCCACTTCACATCAGATGACCACCAGATCTACTACTGCGGACAAGAGGAACATCGAAGAAATGGAGTAGCCTTCATAATTAATAAGAAATTCGCTAAAGCGGTGCTTGGATACAACCCAAAAAATGACAGAATGATCTCAATTCGAGTGCAAGGAAAGCCTTTCAACATTACAGTGATCCAAATATACGCCCCAACCACAGCTGCTGAAGAAACAGAAGTAGATCAGTTCTATGAGGATCTGCAGGACCTACTGGATAATACACCAAAAAGAGACATTATTTTCATTACAGGAGACTGGAATGCCAAGGTGGGAAGTCAAATGACAACTGGGATCACAGGCAAGCATGGTTTGGGAGAACAAAATGAAGCGGGACGCAGGCTGATAGAATTTTGCCAGGAAAACTCGCTGTGTATAACAAACACTCTCTTCCAACAACCTAAAAGACGGCTTTACACATGGACCTCACCAGACGGTCAACACCGAAATCAGATTGACTACATCCTTTGCAGCCAAAGGTGGCGGACATCCATCCAGTCGGTGAAAACAAGACCTGGGCTGACTGTAGCTCAGATCACGAACTTCTTATTGCCCATTTAGAATAAAACTAAAGAGATCAGGGAAAATACACAGACCAGTTAGATATGATCTCACTAAAATTCCTAGCGAATATACAGTGGAAGTGAAGAACAGATTTGAAGGACGAAGAAGAAAGAAAGAAAAAAGAAAGGGAAAGAGAGCTAAGGAGAGGAAGAAAAGGAAAAGAGCAACAAAAAAAAAGAAAAAAAAAAGAGAGAGCGAGAAAGGAAAGAGTAGAAAAGAGAGAGAGAAAATGAGAGAAACAAGGAAAAATAATTTGGTGGATGAGGAACATAACGAGAAGATCAAAAAAAAAAAAAAAAAACAGAAGACAGTACAAAAAGAAAGAAAGAACAAAAAAAAAAAAAAAGAATTAAATTTAGAATAAAACTAAAGAGATCAGGGAAAATACACAGACCAGTTAGATATGACCTCACTAACATTCCTAGCGAATATACAGTGGAAGTGAAGAACAGATTTGAAGGACTAGATTTAGTAAACAGAGTCCCAGAAGAACTATGGACAGAGGTCCGAGACATTGTTCAGGAGGCGGCAACAAAGTACGTCCCAAAGAAAAAGAAAACCAAGAAGGCAAAATGGTTGTCTGCTGAGACACTGGAAGTAGCCCAAGAAAGGAGGAAAGCAAAAGGAAACAGGGATAAGGGGAGATATGCCCAGTTAAATGCGCAATTCCAGAGGTTAGCCAGAAGAGATAAGGAACTATTTTTAAATAAGCAATGCATGGAAGTGGAAGAAGACAACAGAATAGGAAGGACAAGAGACCTCTTCCAGAAATTAGAAACATTGGAGGTAAATTTCAGGCAAAAATTGGTATGATAAGAAACAAAGATGGCAGGGACCTAACAGAAGCTGAAGAGATCAAGAGAAGGTGGCGAGACTATACAGAAGATCTGTATAGGAAGGATAATAAGATTGAGGATAGTTTTGACGGTGTGGTGAATGAATTAGAACCAGACATCCTGAGGAGTGAGGTTGAATGGGCCTTAAGAAGCATTGCTAACAACAAGGCAGCAGGAGACGACGGGATCCGAGCTGAACTGTTTAAAATCTTAAAAGATGATGCTGTCAAGGTGATGCATGCCATATGCCAGCAAATATGGAAAACACAAGAATGGCCATCAGACTGGAAAAAATCAGCTTATATCCCCATACCAAAAAAGGGAAATGCGAAAGACTGCTCAAACTTCCGTACAGTGGCCCTTATTTCTCATGCCAGTAAGGTAATGCTCAAGATCCTGCAAGGAAGACTCCAGCAATACATGGAGCGAGAGTTGCCAGATGTTCAAGCTGGGTTTAGAAAAGGCAGAGGAACAAGAGACCAGATTGCCAATATCCACTGGATAATGGAGAAAGGCAGGGAGTTTCAGAAAAACATCTACTTCTGCTTCATTGACTATTCTAAAGCCTTTGACTGTGTGGATCATAATAAATTGTGGCAAGTTCTTAGTGGGATGGGCATCCCAATCCACCTTGTCTCTCTCCTGAGGAATCTGTACAAGGACCAAGTAGCAACAGTCAGAACTGACCACGGAACAACAGACTGGTTCAAGATTGGGAAAGGCGTACGGCAAGGCTGCATCCTCTCACCCAACCTTTTTAACTTGTATGCAGAACACATCATGCGATGTGCGGGGCTGGATGACTGCAAAGCTGGGGTGAAAATTGCTGGAAGAAACATTAACAACCTCAGATATGCAGATGACACCACTCTGATGGCCGAAAGCGAGGAGGAGCTGAGGAGCCTTCTAATCAAGGTGAAAGAAGAAAGCGAAAAAGCCGGGTTGCAGCTAAACGTCAAAAAAACCAAGATTATGGCAACAAGAATGATTGACAACTGGAAAATAGAGGGAGAAACCGTGGAGGCCGTGACAGACTTTGTATTTCTAGGTGCAAAGATTACTGCAGATGCAGACTGTGCCAGGAAATCAGAAGACGCTTACTTCTTGGGAGGAGAGCAATGTCCAGTCTCGATAAAATAGTAAAGAGTAGAGACATCAGACTGGCAACAAAGATCCGCCTAGTCAAAGCCATGGTATTCCCTGTAGTAACCTACGGATGTGAGAGCTGGACCTTAGGGAAGGCTGAGCGAAGGAAGATTGATGCTTTTGAGCTGTGGTGTTGGAGGAAAGTGCTGAGAGTGCCTTGGACTGCGAGAAGATCCAACCAGTCCATCCTCCAGGAAATAAAGCCCGACTGCTCACTGGAGGGAAGGAGACTAGAGACAAAGTGAAGTCCTTTGGCCACATCATGAGGAGACAGGAAAGCCTAGAGAAGACAATTATGCTGGGGAAAGTGGAAGGCAAAAGGAAGAGGGGCCGACCAAGGGCAAGATGGATGGATGGCATCCTTGAAGTGACTGGACTGACCTTGAGGAGCTGGGGGTGGTAACGGCCGACAGGGAGCTCTGGCGTGGGCTGGTCCATGAGGTCACGAAGAGTCGGAGACGACTGAACGAATGAACAACAACAACATGTTGTCTCCACAAATTATATAAGTACCAATCTTTTGTCCCAAACTATCACACATGTTGGATGGCACACATCACATGCTAGAAGAGCAGAGGAAATGTATTTAAGCAGGATAGGAGATTCTACACAGAGATCCTTTTTATTTCTTTTCATCTTACAAAACAGATTAAAGAATGTGCTTTTTCATGTTATGATTTATATCATGCTTGGAGGCTCGGGGTGTTTGGCTATATTCTGCAAACAAGAATGATAGTACTTGCAAAGGAGTATAGCATTTCAGTATCCTTATAGCATATGTCCTGAGTTGTAAGATGGAAAGTGCTTGCCACCTTTATCAGATATTCATCCATCCATCCATCCATCCATCCATCCATCCACCTATCCATCCACCCACTCACGCATGCACTCACTCACTCACTCACTCACTCGCATGCCCTTCCAGGAATATCTCTTTATGAGAGAGTGCATAGATGGGCGTGCAAGTGCATGAGTGAGTGTGTAGGTGGGTAGATGGATGTGAGGGCAAGGGGGTGAGCAGATGGGAGGATGAGGGAGCAAGCAAGCAAGCAAGAGAGCAAGTAAGTGAAATGGTGGGCAGATGGGCAGGTGAGCAGATAGGTGAGCATGCAGATAGGTAAGTTAGGCCTTTTACATTTTCTCTCTCACTCATCCATCCATCTATCTACCCACTCAAGCATATACTCACTCACTTGCATGTCCTTACAGAAGCACCTCTTTATGAGCAAGTGGGTGGATGAGCATGTGAGTGCATGAGTGAGTAGGTGAGTGGACGGATGGATGGGTGGGCAGATGGGCGAAAGAGCAAGCAAGAGTGTGAGTACATGAAGTGAGCAGATGGATAAGTGAGTGGATATGTGAGCATGCAGATAGGCAAGCTAGGCCTTTTACAGTGGCGAGGTGGTCTAAATAATGGGTGTGACTATTATGCAAGGAATCATAAAATACCAAAAACGGGATCCTGATAAGAGGATGCGACTATTATGCGATGGTGACTATTATTCAATGAAATACGGTAGCTGGAATGTAGAGTATCTCTTGAGAAAATGTCTAGTTTGTCTAATAGTTCTAAGGATGTATAATTGTTTCATAAGTATCTTAAATGCTTAGAAGTACTTAGCTGGTGTTCTCATGAGTTGAATACAACTCTTGTTAAATCTTGTTAAAATGCATTGCTTTTTAATGCCAGGTTGATATGGATCATAATTCTGGAATTTTTATCACCATGAACCCTGCTGGAAAGGGCTATGGAGGCAGACAGAAATTGCCTGACAATCTCAAACAACTTTTTAGGCCTGTTGCTATGACCCGTCCTGATAATGAGCTCATTGCAGAAGTTATTTTGTATTCAGAAGGTTTTAAAGATGCTAAACCTCTGGGAAGAAAATTAGTAGACATCTTTAATTTAGCAAGGTAAGTGGTCATAAATACATCGTTTTCACTTGCATGTCTCTATTCCGTCTCATCTTTCTTTTAGGAAATAGACATTCTCTAGATAATGCCAAGAATTATATGAATTGTGTCCTATCTCTTTACGGTGCTATGCTTAATACTAAAATGGGAAAAATCATGCCTGCATAACATTTTGCTGTGGTTTTAACTAATGTATGGTATCATTAAGAACATGAATGGTAACATCCTGATTCAAATGTTAGACTGGACACTATCTTCACTTCACTTCACTTCACTTTATTTCTTAATTAGTTGCTCTCCACCAAGGTGCTCCGAGCGACTTACAATTTAAAATAGCATTTACACAATATAAAAACATTCAACATAAAAACATACAACAGTGACTATTTGGCAAATTCTATCTGATCACTTTACTTAAATGCACAACCAAACAGCCAAGTCTTGAGCGCCTTTACAAAAGGTCACAACTCCGGCATTGCTCTAATATATGGAGGCAAAGAGTTCCACAGAATTGGAGCCTAGATCGAAAAAGCTCTATGCCTTGTAGCTTCCAGGTGTATCTCCCTAGGGCCCGGTATGTATTGGAGATTTCTTGGGTGGATCGAGGTAACCACTGTTGGGAAAAAGGAATGAGGCGGTCCCTAAGATATTATGCGATGTAGGGTGTTCCAAGCAGGCTACTCTCTGTAGGGTAGCTTGGAACACCCTATCTGTAGGGTGTTCCAAGCAAGCTACTCTCCCTCAGTCTTATTTTCCTTCTTACCTATAAGGATCGAAATGGAAGCATGTCTATGAACTTCTGTTAGAATACTGGGAGTAAATATATGAAGGAAAAGGTTTTATATATTTTCAGTGGAATGCTAGAATGAAGAATCAAATCTTGTTGATCTGTTGCTATGGATCCCCATGCTCCACATTTCACCAGTTTTTGTTTGAAATTTCATGGTATCCTGATTAATTTGACATTGTTATTTGATGATATTGTTTATCTAATTTAGATCTATTCAAGAGCCCCTTGCATATTTAGTTGCTTTATTCCGAACGATATTTTCTGTAAGATTAGCCAGATTCTAAATCAATAGCATCAAGAGAGGTTAACCAAGAAAAGAACACACAGGCCAAGGGTGAAAATGCCAAAGTAAGATGGATGTCAGATGAGATTCCAGGAGAAATGAAAATATTGCTCACTGTCTTATATGACACAGTCTACAGATCTATTGGACACACTAGTATGGCTCTAAAGTTTAAATAGCCATGGTTTTGGAGAATGTGTAGGTAAAGGAACCACACATTTTCAAAATCTCTCTTCCTTCAGAGATGTTTAAAAAGTGTTTAGATGTGCTAATAATAAATAAAGGAGGTGGTTTTAGATGTAACAAGATTAAAATGAATCATATGGTAGGATTCCTATTTTGGTCTGTTCTGATGAAATTATATGTGGAACAATAGAGTGGAATCACAAATGCTTATGAAACTATTGGAAAATGCTACCATTTGCTTTGAACTGCAGCAGCCAGATGACAAGCTTCCACAAAAGCGTTTGAAAGAAAGCCCTTAATGTTTTCTGGCTTGTGTAGTCACCATCCAGGACTCAAACGGGTTCCAGGATTTTCTTTGTAAGCTTCTGCACAGCAAAACCACTTTCTTCAATACGGCTTTGAAACTTCATTAAATAGTCAGTGTAGATGGGGCCTGAGTCAGTATGATAATAGGATTTATTGAATCTTCATAAGTACTAGAGCAAATTATTCTAATACCAAAAATGTAATAGAAGAAACATTTAAAATAACTATTTTAAAAATTCAGGGAGCTCATGACACCTCAACAGCATTATGATTGGGGCTTGCGAGCGCTGAAGACTGTTCTGAGAGGATGCGGTAATCTTCTTCGTCAGCTGAAAAAAAATGGAATAAAAGAGAAAGGTAATTATACAAGCACACACACACACAAACATGCTTTTCGGTCACCATACGTGGAAAATGCTTGAAACAGCATAGTTTGAACTAGTATGTAAAATCTACAATTATGATGATGACGACAACAATTTTGTGAGAATCATTTGAAAAGCAAATATAACATGAATGGTTCTCATAGTTAGTATCTTCTTAAGAAGAGTGGACAGTTCATCTGACACTAAACTTTTGTGATTGTCATACAGTAAAGATGCACCTTATGAATTAAAACTGCAGTATTGCCACATGAACAATTCTTTTTTATACTGTGCATTTCTGAATATTGTTCTTGTTGCACAGTAGATGCAATTACCTTCAAGTTATGTTCTAGCAAACAGTTCAGCTATTCAACAAAAGACTATTTCTGTACTTAATCATCTATTAAATGTACAAAGCATATTCATTCTCAGTTCCTAAGCTCTCAAAATTGATGCTGATTTTTAAGAATATCCTCTCATCAAAAATAGTTGCAGAACCCTTTCTTTTACATTCTTAGGGAATTAGCAAAAAGAAAAGTCTCAGGTGGTTTTCCAGTCATGGCTGGTGGGCCAGACATGACTGATGGATTGTATTTTGCTTGGTAAGCAGCAGATGTCTAAGGTTACCTTAGTTAAACTTTTCTATTCCTTTGAGCATACTGTTAGTAAGATGACAGGATTCTCTTCATTGGTTTTCTGTGAGTTTTCTGGGTTCTATGGTCATGTTGTAGAAGCATTCTCTCCTATGCTTCTGGAAAATGGCCATACAGCCTGGAAAGCACCCAGCAACCCAATGATTCCAGCCATGAAAGCCTTCAACAACACATTCTCTTCATCGATTTATCACTTTGGCAGTGGTCATGAGCTTAAGTATTCATGTTGTGGCCATGGCAATTGTGGTTTCATTTTCTCCACTTAATCTGCTTCTTATCCATTATCATGTTTCCATTACATTTGAAATTTAGGACAGTGCAAATCATATTCCTGTTGGGTTTGTGCTTCTTTTGTGATCATGGATGTGCTTACCTTACTTCTTCAAGGCAGCATCAACTAAATTTTATCATTTTTGTTCTCCCATGCAGTTAATGAAAGTCATATTGTGGTCCAAGCTTTGCGACTTAATACCATGTCAAAACTGACATTTGCAGATTGTGCACGATTTGATGCATTGGTAAAAGATGTCTTCCCTGGTATTGATTTTAAGGATGTAGATTATGCTGAGCTAAACAGTGCTTTAGAAGAAGCTTTTGAGGAGGCTAATTTAGAAATCATATCTACCCAGGTAAATATCAAATACAACTATATTCAGTTCTTTCATTATAGGTTCTTCAAGACATCCAGTCAGTCTGTTTTGATTATGGAAATGTAAAAACAAAATCCAGAATTCCATTGGCCTTAATCTTAATGGTTACTTCCAGCTAGAATCAGTTGTTGAAATGTGAATCAGCAAATGTAGAAATCCTATTGTTTCAATGGGTCTACTCTAGTCAGGACTATGAATAAGAGTCTAGCTTCCATTATTGAGAGATGTTATTATGCTCATTAATTCATGCAAGAGTAACATGGACTGAGACAAATACTGAAATCTCATTCAGATTTATCTAATTTATGCAAAAGTAGCATGAATTCAGACAAAAACTGAAATCTCATTCAGATTTATCCATTTTATTAAATCTCATTGATTATTGTGGCATTTATTTTTGCAAAATAGTAAAATTAGAGAGAAGAATAAAGGCCAAATGAAAGTTAAAGGGGAAATTATACTTGTCAGATAGAAATTATTCAAATCAATAAGATTTTTTTTGTTATTAATTTGTAACTAATTCTGAATATCTATTTTATTTGCTGCTTAGTCAGGTGAAGGAAGTAGTCTAAACATGTAACTATTTTTAATCTTTTTATTTTTTTCAAAGGTTAAGAAGGTTTTGGAATTGTATGAACAACTACGTCAGAGAATGGGAGTAGTTATTGTAGGCCCAAGTGGGGCAGGCAAATCAACTCTCTGGCGTATGTTAAGGGCTGCACTTGGAAAAATTGGGAAAGTAGTGAAACAATATACCATGAATCCCAAAGCTATGCCTCGCCGTCAGTTGCTGGGACATATTGATATGGACACCAGAGAGTGGTCAGATGGTGTACTGACAAACAGTGCTCGGCAAGTAGTACGAGAACCTCCAGGTACGTATTCTTTCTCCATTCCTATATATGTTTTAGCAGAAGCAAGTCCCATTGTGTTTGATGGGTCCTATTTCCAGTTATGCATCCATAGACTGTAGTCTCAGTGTTAAAATATTGTAAGTACACTCTTAGTTTGTGGCATTAATAATATATTAGTGGGATAGAATGAGGAGCAATCCATCATGATGGGGTTCATTATCACAGAAAGACCACTAGCAGTACCATTATCAGACAGCAAGAGCAAAGATGTAATAATAATAATAGTAATAATAATAATAATAGTAATAATAATAATAATAATAATAATAATAATAATACTAATAATAATAAAAAGTATTTGTACCCTGCATTGTCTCCCCGAAGGGACTCAGGGCGGCTAACAAAGGGCTCAAGGTGCCACACATAAGATAGAATTACATATCATCAAAACTATATACAATTTGACTGAATACAAACAGTGAACAACGTCAATTGATAAAATATTTTTTTTACAAAATTCTAAAACACAGTCATACCCATGGGTCATTGGGTTTCTTCAAACACGAACTAAACTAACAATGATTGACATCACCACATGACCATAGTACATTACTCCAGGTCAAAGGCCTATGTAAATAGCCATGTTTTTAGACTCGAATGGAAGGTCCAGAGATTTGGAGCTAATCTAATCTCTCTAGGGAGGGCGTTCCAGAGCTGAGGAGCCACCACTGAAAGGCCCTTTCTCTTATCCCCACCAACTGTGCCTGTGATGGTGGTGGGATCAAGAGAAGGGCTTCCCAGCAGTTCTCAAGGCCCACACTGGTTCATAGAAGGAGATGCAGTCTAAAAGCACTAATATAGTAAGTGATACAAATGATTGTTGTTATAATGAGAAGTGCTGGATTCCCTGAATGGCTGAAGGTGTAATCCACAGCTAGTGTGTTAATTCCTTTGTACCAGCAGATCAAGACAAGAATCCACATTTCTTTTTCAATTTGTGACTTTTCTCTTTTCCAGACAACTTTTATTTTCATTTTTCTTTGTTCTACACATTAGACTTGTACACTGTGCTAAGAAATGGATGCTTTTGTCCATGAATCCATCTAAGATTGAGCCAACTAAATCTAATCTGAATTTCTACTGAAAAGCAGCTAGCATATGAAAAATAATGTTTTACTATTTATTGTGAACAGATGTTACTTCGTGGATAATCTGTGATGGTGATATTGACCCTGAGTGGATCGAATCTTTGAATTCTGTCCTTGATGACAACCGTTTGCTTACTATGCCCAGTGGTGAAAGAATTCAGTTTGGCCCAAATGTCAATTTTATCTTTGAAACACATGACTTGAGTTGTGCTTCTCCTGCCACAATATCTCGAATGGGAATGATTTTTCTAAGGTAATTTTACATTTTACATATGTATAGGTTTTTGTGCTTTCCAGTATTGTTGAGGCACAATGCCCAAATATTTCTAGTCCCTATTTCCAATTAGAGACTACAAACGAATAACTAATTTTGCAGAAGAACTATGGAGTGGTTACAATCAAGCCAAGCCAAGAAAGCATCAAGATAGTAGCACATTTGACTGTTCCTGCATCATGGGTTTTATAGTCTCAAATTGACACAAACAATCAAACTTTCCTTCTTTCATGTCTCGTTTTTTCTCTCTTAACTTCATCCTTCAAATCAGTGTCTCTCCGTTCCTAAACAACTTGTTCCTCTTTGCTCCTAAGCAAAACAATCTTTTTCAAAACAATTTTCCATGCAATTTTCCCTCCTCCCATTATTGTCAGGTTAATTTGATCTTTCCCTTTATCTCTCATCCAGATTTTTTTTTCCAGGTGCTTGGTAACACTATCTCTTTCCCAAATTCCTTGACTCTTCACTCTTTTTTGTTCCCTCCTCTTTCTTTAACCCATTCTTAAAGCTCTCTTTCTTGTAAAATTCACTTTGCATATCCTTGTTCCAACAGTATTGTACATGCTAAGACAGGTTAAAATTCAAATCTAGTTCAAACCTAAATATTATTACTACTACTACAGGCCACTTTATTTTTACTGACTATTTTTGACTCCAGCCTGCTTTCATTGATTTCACTTGTTTCAATTAGAAAACAATATTTCCAAGTTTAATTATATTTTCAGCCACTTCGCACATTCAGACATTTTTTGAGACAATAATGATCACTATTATAAGGAGAATTGTTGAAGACACTATCCTGTAAACCTACATAGTGCTGTGTTTAATGTGTGGCCCTATTGGAATAGGATATTGAAAACATATTCTTGTTTTGTTTTCTCATTCTAGTGATGAAGATACCGATCTGAATTCCCTGATAAAATCTTGGCTTAGAAATCAAAATGAAGAATGCAGACAGAATCTTGAAAACTGGATTGGAGATTATTTCGAAAAAGCTTTGAACTGGGTCCTAAAACAGGTCAGTAACACAGAATTTTTTGTTTTTGTTGTGTATAATCTGACAATGTTAGGTTTTATTCTAGTAATATACTCCATTTGACAGCTCTATTTAGAGTCATAGGAAGCTCTCGTTATGAACCCATGAATCTCCCCAAGGCCTCCGACGCTGGGAAATATCTCTGTTTATATAGAATATGTCGTCATCATCATGATTATCAATATTGGGCAGATTCTCTTTTCACTTCTACCTCCTATATTGATAGATGAAATTGTGAAGATCTTTGGAGATATGGTATTGCTTCTTTTAATTGTTCACTCTCTGTACTGAGATTGCTCCAGCTCTCCATTTGCCAACATTTTAGAATAAGTTGTTGGAAACTATTTTACAGCTTGCTGTGTTCTCTATTTTACAGAACGACTATGTGATAGAAACAAGTTTGGTTGGAACAGTGATGAACGGACTATCTCATCTCCACGGATGCACTGAACGTGGGCAGTTCATAATTAGTCTGATAAGAGGGCTTGGTGGAAATCTCAACATGAAATCACGGCAGGAATTTACAAAAGAGGTATTGTTTATACAATGAATTGTTCAAATTCTTAATAATTTCAGGAGAATTTTCTGAAAAAATGAAATTCCTAAAAAATGTTTTATGCAAGGATTGATTAAAAAATAATAATTTAAAAACTTCCCTAAAGGTTCAATCCATATACCACCTGCAGCAAAGCTTTTTATGTGACTTATTAGTATGGAAAAATGGTAAATGGCTTTTATATGGTGTATGTAGTCTTATTTATTTATTTACTATAGTTATACTCTGCTGTTCTCACCCTGAAGGAGACTCAGAGTAGCTTACAGATTATAGCATTTTCTGTAATGCTAGGTGGTAATACACATTTTAATTTCCATTTTGTAAATGCAGTTTGTTTTTAAACCCTTATTCAATTAAAATATTTTGGTTTTATGAATGCAAAAAGGAATTCATTTGTGAAAGGTTTTAGCATGTCTAATTAGAAAAAGTAAATGCTATTTTCCAGCAAAAAACATTTTTTTACAAAATTCAGATAGAAGGATGAGAAATTACAGAAAGGTTGGGTAGGAGAAACTGTCACCTATGGTGTGTTTATCAAATTATTATCAATATCACTGTTAGAATTCTTCCCCCCCCAAAAAAAAAATAATTGTTGGATCCAACTAAACAGGAGGACATACCATTGACAGTAGTGGTACAAGTTAATAGTCACTGCTATCTTTAGTCGCATTGATTTCCGTATAACTAGATTTTAGTACACTTGGGTTAGATTTCAACCAGTGGAGTTGTGCACAGCTTGCATATCCTAAGCATGTTTTTAATTTTTTTAAATAAGGTTTTTACTTGGGCACGAGAGTCTCCACCAAATCCAAATAAACCATTGGACACCTATTTTGATCCAGATACACAGCATCTGATGTCATACTTGCTCAAGAAGCCTGAAAACCTGACTGCTGATGATTTCAGCAATACTCAGACTCTTCCAGTCATCCAAACACCTGATATGCAAAGAGGCTTAGATTACTTTAAGCCATGGCTAGGCTTTGATAGTAAACAACCATTTCTTCTTGTTGGGCCTGAAGGATGTGGAAAAGGGTAAGAATTTTCATTTTCATGTCACGTGATATTCATGCGATAGATTATGTGGTTGACAGTCTTAGCTGAAACCCAAGTTCTCTTCAAAGGTTTGCTTCTGGGTTAATTTACCCCCCCCCCCCCCGTATTTTTATTTATGCCAATACATGGGTCATCTCCTTAAGTCTCGTTATTAGCAGAATGGTGGGATATAAAACAATTACAACAATATTGTCTCAATGGCTGGAACAGATTGTATCTGTTTATCTTCAACCTGCTATATAAAATTTTAAGTGCTCACCGTTTCTTTTTTTAGAATGCTTCTTCGATATGCCTTTTCTCAGCTTCGGTCTACTCAGATTGCCACAGTTCACTGCAGTGCGCAGACAACATCCCGGCATCTTCTGCAAAAATTAAGCCAAACCTGCTTAGTGATCAGCACCAATGTGGGGCGAGTGTACAGACCGAAGGATTGTGAAAGGCTGGTTTTATACTTAAAGGATATCAATTTACCCAAGCCTGATAAATGGGGAACTAGCACACTTGTGGCTTTCCTGCAACAGGTAAATAGAATTCAGTTTTGATGATAACCGAATATGATTTAAATTTTCTTGTTTCGGTCCTCTATGATGCTCACAAGTGGGCTCAGTGTATCTTGGAATCTTGTAGACCAGATGCATTTTGGTATTATCCCTTCCTACTCCCCACTTGTTTAATGTTCACACTTCCTACATAAACCCTTGGTTCCTTTTTGTCTTCTGCAGTAGCATCATCAGTAGGTACTTTTTTTGGGAGCTTTGAACAATCCTTTTTGGCTTTGACTCCAGTTGGTTTGACTTCAGCTTGAATTCTCCCTTTTGAAGCTTTGGATTGGCTATTTTAGATATTTTAGGCTTAGATTTGGATGTTGACAACTGTTGACTCAGTGCAACACAAGTCTCAGTAGTAGCAGGAGGAGGTGGAAGTAAGACCACCAAATACATGGGAAAGACACGAGTCTCAGGAGTAGCAGGAAGAGGTGGGAGTAGGACCATCAAATATGTAGGAAACCTTCATGGATGCATCGTGTGTAAAAGGAATAATAAAATTACATGTACAAATACTGTAAATAAAAAAATAAAAAAATAAAATACATACATTTTAGAAATTATGCCTTTGGCAGGATTCCATATTTTTGGTTGTTCTTTTATCTCACCCCAACTAGGTGCTTACATATCAGGGATTTTATGATGAAAATCTTGAATGGGTTGGATTAGAAAACATCCAGATTGTGGCTTCTATGTCTGCTGGAGGAACTTTGGGAAAGCATAAACTCACCTCCAGGTTTACCTCTATTGTTCGTCTTTGTGCAATTGAGTAAGTATCTTCTTGGTCATTCTTATTCTTACACTTTAATTTTGCATTGAGCTTCAAGGCAGTTTATAAAGTAGAAACAGATACAGCAGAAAGTACGCATTTGTTGTGCAATGAGTGTTTGGTTCCAGAATCCATACTAATAATCTGGCAAACTTTGTTATTCTTAAAGCAAGTATTAGACCATTCTTTGAAATAAAAATCTACTCAGATAAGCCAAACGCTGTTTTAGCTTTTATCTGTTTAGCTCAGATAGTACCTCTTGTATGTATAAGTAAATGTTGCAAACAAAGTTTAAATGATTGTGAAAGAATAACTGATATTAAATATATCTGTTTTCTAGTTATCCAGAGAGAGATCAACTACAAACAATTTATAGTGCGTATTTAGAACCTGTTCTGCACAAGAACTTAAAGGATCATCCTGCTTGGGGTTCCTTAGCAAAAATTCATCAGTTGGCAGGATCTATGGTTCAAGTATATGAACAGGTATAAATGATTTTGATCTAAAACACTGCTATTCAAAGTGTAGTCCATGGACCACTGTTGCCCCCAAGCCAGTGACTGCACATTCTTGGTTGGTTTTAAGGAAAGATCTTTCCCTTCAGTCATTGATCTTGCTCCTGAAGCTTTCTATTCTGCATAGATTAAGGTGGTGATCAGTCAATTATAGATCATCACTCAGAAGTGTGAACAATTCAAATTCAAGTATTTCTGTAGAGGGAAAGTTAATGCACGTTGGTCCTTTCTGGAAATCAGTGGTTCTTAAGGGTAATGATGATGCAAGGTTATGAGATTCTGCTTGCAAAGTCATCAAAGGGCAGATAACATTCATCATTGATTCCAGGAAACAAGAAGTAGTATGAGATAGTTTGCAGTGAGGTTCAGCATCTTGTGCAAATTGGGCTTATAGGGGGTGTGTTACTCTATAGTTGTGGTGCTCTAGACACAGGGCTGTTCCACACAGCTCATTAATGCGAGTGCAATCAAGTTTTAAAAACTCAGTTAAACCCGCATTGAAGTCCACCTCCCTCCCTAGAAAGTGTGTGCTTTTCTAGGGGAGGGTGTCCATGAAAGAAAACCCCTATAAAAAGCCTTTTAAAAAGGAAAATAACTCACTCGGCTGCCATTTCTCCTTCTCTGGAGTTCTCCTGGGTTGTACCAATGACATACCAATTAAATTTCCTCCCCCCCTTCTCTTGACACATCACTGGTACGACCCAGGAGGTGGACACCGGAAGTTGCGCGGTGCGTGCCCCGGTCCCATCTACACAGCTCCCGCACCTGGAAAAACACGGGTCTTTCCAGCAGACAAATTACCTCGGAACAAAGCAGGGCTTTCCCGCTTTGTGCCAAAAGCATTTGTTTTTCCCTGAAGCGTCATCTGGATGTCCCAGTGGAAAACATGGGAAGGCATGCACTATAAGTGCTGTCTGGATGCGCCCAAAGACTTCATTTTTACAAATGTTTTGTGAAGTACCAGTGTTTCAAATTGAAGTTCCTTCAAACCACCAAGGACAATTTACAGAAAAAATCCTGCTAATGGGCAATATTAGACTTGCTTGAGAGTCCCCTTCGGGGTGAGAAGGGCAGCATAGAAATGTCGCAAATAGATAAATAAATAAATCTTCATGTTCCAGTATCAACAACTTGTTGAGAATACTTATGATTCTATTTTCAGGATAATAATTTCCAATTCAACATGCTTCTTTCTAATCAATAGCATTTACCAAAGTATCGGTCATGCCCAAAATGGATATGATCCCTGAAAGATTGAATAAGATTCCTTATTCTTATTGTAATGCTTACTTTTGAGTAAACATACAAAGCATTACTCTACATGTAAGTTTTCGCACACATGTCTTGTAGGAGAATATATTGCTAAAATGAAAAGTTTGATTAAACCTGTAGTATTGACAGCCTCTGTTTTCTAGATTCGTGCCAAATTCACAGTTGATGACCACAGTCACTACCTCTTTACACCCTGCATTCTTACTCAGTGGGTTCTAGGCTTGTTCAGATATGATTTAGCAGGAGGTGAGTAATGCCAATTTACTATGTATGTTAAATCATCAAAGTATTCCTTCCTTCCTACCCTGCTGTCACAAATTACTGAGCTGCTTCTACAGTTTCTGTACCAGTTTGCTAAGTAGGTCTATTCAGAGTGGTGATTCGTTTGCTGCTCTTGTTCCATGCGCTGTATACTGCTGGTTTGTGGTGAATTTCTAAGAAAGTGTAAACCTAGCACTGGTCCCTGACTCATTGAAAGGAGTGGCATAGTTTGTGATTAGAAAAAAAGATTAAATGCAATCAAATCACAAGAAAGGTTAGTCTGACTAAATATTAGACAGAGCATCCAGATGGTAAGAGCTGACAGTGGAATCGATTATCTGAGAAAGGGGTAAAATCTTAATTGGAAACTTTAAAAGCAAAGTTCAACAACAGTCTCCTAGGGATGTTTATCTGTGGAATTCTGCACTAGGAATAGATTGGATTAGATGTCCCTTAGAGTCTCTTCCAAATCCTTGATTCTGTATGACACCTGAAAAAATGCATAGTTTTATTTTAAAAAGACACAATGTATTGGTTTTTTTTTTCATACATTGGTGTAGATTGCCCAAAACAGCTGCCCCTCTCCTTTAAATGTTATCTTAAAACTGCATATTCATTCTTTATTTTTTCTTGTCTCTGCTGCCTTTTGATGGCCTCCCTCTGGTATGTAGCTTTATTTATAATTTTGTCCATGTAGTTTGTTGTGTGCCTTCAAGTCATTTTTGACTGATGCAGTCCCAAGGCAAACCCATCACACTGTTGTTTTTTTTTAAAGATCTGTTCAGACAAGATTTGCCTTTTTCTTCTTCTGAGGATGAGAAAGTGTGAGTTGCCTAAGGTCACCCAGTGGGTTTCTGTGAATGAGTGAGGATTTGAACCTAATCCTAGTCCAGTGTTCAAATCATATACAACATTGGCTCTTTTCTGTATGTAGAAATATAGATGTTTTGCATTTGAGTGCTATAACTTATAATTTCCTTTTATCAACATGTATTTTGCAGGGGCTTCAACAAACACTATAGATACTGTATTGGAAATTGTTGCTTATGAGGCGCGCCGTCTCTTCCGTGACAAAATTGTTGGAACCAAGGAACTTTATGCGTTCGATAATATTTTAATGAAAGTATTCCAAGGAGATTGGGGATCTGATGTTTTGGACAATATGGCAGGTAATATAAAATTAAATGGTCTGGGTCAGTGGTAGTAGAGAACCTATGGCACGTGTGCCAGAAGAGACACTCAGCACCCTCTCTTCTGACATGCGAGTCATTACCCCTCAGTTTGCTCCTTCACTTGCATGCCCCCTTTACCCATTTGTTGCTCACCTGCCGTCACCTCCCCCTACGCTCACTAACCCCCCCCCCAGTGCCAACCCCCCCCTCCCCCTCTGTTTGGGCACTCTGTCTCTAAAAGGTTCACCATCACTAGCCTAGGTTTTGCAGTAGTTGTTTCAGAATATCAACAATTCTTCTCACTTTCATTGCATTTTCACAGATAGTTTTTATGTAACATGGGGAGCTCGTCATGAATTGGGAACTGTTATGGCACCAGGACAAACACTGCCACCCCATGGAAGGCCACTTGGTAAACTTCACTCAGCAGACTTGAAAGACGTCATCAGAAAGGTATGTCAAAACACTAGTATGTGTTCAGAACATATTTGCCATAGACTTAATGGCTAGAAAAAGATTCCATGATTGTTGTCTTGGAAAGAGAGCACATCTGTTAAAGAGGGATGAGAATCTTTGGGATATGAAGCATCAAGTGCAAAGAACAATCCTCACTTACTTTGGCTACTGGAAATTCAGATCTTGCTGAGTCTGTTTTAAGTCTTTTGTAGACACTACTCATATACTCACAAATTTCTTCATAAAAACTAAGGCAAAAAACTTTTTTTAAAAATACGCCTTTCCCCACTGTCTCATGGTGAACATTTCTTGACGAAGGATATCCAGATTACTGGTTCCCCCTTCAGCATACTACTCACTCTTTTAGGTTGAAAGTACTACTGCTGTTGTCTCTTAAAGATGCTCTACTAGTGTCTCCCTCCTTTATTGCTTCTACCCAGTAGCATATTTGGTACATTTAATCTGGCTCCTCAGCAAAAGTCTGACATAGGAGACTCAACCATCAGCAGTGCTGTCGTCAGCATATTCTCTATCTTGACAGAAGCACACAATTCCACTTTTTATGGACTACTAGTTCAGGTACCTGGCAATACCTGGGTTTGAGATTTTGTAAGGACAAATCGTAGAAATATTATTTGTTTAGTTTTGGAATTTATGAATGGTCTCATTAGAAATTCATAAGGATGTACGCAAACTACAACTCCCATCATTCTGCCATCCCCACAAAAAACCCCCACACTGGTAGTTAAAGATGGTCATGATGGATATGTGTGCAAAGATCCCTTGCTAGTGCAGTTCACAGTACTCTGAGGACTTTAACTTTCATCATCAACTTTAAAAGGCCACATGCATTAGAAGGGCACGCATGTAAGAATGATTTCTAAATTGTTTCCTATTATTGTATTTCATTGCTATTTACATTTGTTAACTTATCACTTCCTTTAGGGCATTATTCACTATGGGCGAGATAACCGTGAAATAGAAATGTTGCTTTTCCCAGAGGTCCTTGATTATGTATCCAGAATCGACAGAGTCCTGAGTTTTCCTGGAGGGTCCCTTCTGTTAGCAGGGCATAGTGGAGTGGGCCGCCGGACTGTGACATCTTTAGTGAGCCACATGCACGGGGCAGTTCTGATAACTCCCAAGATTTCCAGAGGCTATGAAACGAAACAATTCAAAAACGATCTCAAACATGTAAGTTGTAGTACATAAATGATTTACACTATTTAGGATCCAAGAATATGCTATATTGGATTGTTTATAAACTTTATGTAGCTTCATACACTTGGTTGTGTTCATAAACATTTTTTAGCTTGATACTAAGGGGCTGGGCTTAGCACAGCAGGCTAAATCTCTGCAGAAAAATCCTGCAGATTGAAAGGTTGACAGTTCGAGCCCAGATCAGAGGGAACACCCAGCTCACCTTCCCACCTAGCAGGTCAAAGGCAGAAATGCGAGTAGATAAAATAGGTACCGCTTTTAGCAAGGAGGTAATAAAGGCACCCTTAAGGACATCAATTGGAGGAAAGCTCCTTGGCATGGAAGATAGACACCCCCCACCCCCCATGGCTGGAGGCGAGCACAGCCTCTGAGATGCCAGAAATAGGAAAAATTGCCTTTACCTCTGTTTGTGTTGTCTGTCCTTGTTAATTGTATAATCAGCATTGAATGTTTGTCGTATGTGTGTTCTATAAGCCGCTCTGAGTCCCCTTCAGGGTGGGAAGGGTGGGGTATAAATACCGTAAATAAATAAAAACTTGTTTCTGAACAAGAACCATATGATTCAAAGTTTGAAGAAAAGGCCTGATTTGAGATCTTTAACATTTCACATCGTTTAGTAATTAAGTTTCTGTTACATCAGTACAACCAGGTGAAATATAAAACTTGGCAAAAAATTGTATATTTCACAAGCGAGAGGTATGACTTTTAATTAGAGATGAAAAATATGCATTTGTATACTGCATTATTACTTAAGTCAGAGCTGAAGGATGTGCATTTATACACTGTATTATGGAACCAAAAGAAATTGCTTTTCATTTCTAGGTAATGCAGCTCACAGGAATTGAAGCACAGCATGTTGTGTTGCTGCTTGAGGACTATCAATTTGTCCAGCCCACATTTCTTGAGATGGTTAACAGCTTGCTCTCTTCAGGTGATATAAACATAATACTTGAATAGCATACATTTAGAACAAATTGACTAATTCAGGGATGAATAGACTTCATGTTAGAAAGATCAGTGTCGGTTTTTTTTACCAGATTGTCAAAATTGTCCAACCTGAAAGTGATGCAAAAGATATGTACTAAAAAAATAATCTGAGCCTAGGAATTTGCTCTGAGTACCAGAATGGAATGGAGCTCATAGCCCCATGCGTCACTCGGGAATCATATCAGAGATGCTTTGTAGTCGTTGAAGTCAACAATCTTTGCTGTTGTTTAATAGGTTGCTCAGGGATTATTTAGAATTCTGCTTCTGTAGTTTAGCTATGTATATCTGTTACAGCTATATGAAAACATCATGTATTTTCAAAATTTGGATTAACATGACTGCAATCCATCTTTCCTTTTTTTCATTATTTGTTTTTAAGGTTAAAAGGAAAATAATGAATCGAATGCTGTCAATTCCAAAGACATTCTAAAGCATTTACTTTTATTTTTTATCAAAAGCATAGCATACATAAGTATAAAACTGATAAAAGTAGAAGGAACACAAGCAGCTAAATAATTTTGTGATGTCTCTGTGTGTTTCCTGTATACATAAAATGTCACACGAAATGTCCTCAGACATTTTGGCCAGTAGCTCTTCCTTAGCAATTGATATTAATAGGCATAATCATTAGCAATGGTCTTGATAAAGACTTTTCGTGTTCATCCATTTGTGGAGGGAAAAAAACACACCTCCAATTTAAAATGTTTAAAAGCAATTATTTTGGGTTTGGAAAGATTAGCTGTTTACAAGAAACGTTGCCCAGGGACGTCTGACTGTATTTACTCAGTGTTCGAGGAGGCTCTTTCCATGTCCCTCAAAGCATTTACTGAGTCTTCCACAAAGCAGAATGATGAAATTATTGTAATAACTGTGTTTTAACTCTGCATATATAATATAGGCAACTGTTTCTGAAATAGGTGAGGTTCCTGGATTGTACACAACAGAAGAATTAGAGCCTCTCCTATCCCCTCTGAAAGATCAAGCATCACAAGATGGATTTACTGGACCTGTTTTCAACTATTTCACTTACAGTAAGTGAATCAGAATATATATGTATGCATTTTTCTCTCTCTTCCACCCCCCCCCCCCAACACACACACTTCACCTAAGAGACTGGATATCTGATCTGATATGTGTTTTTTGGATTTTAAATCAGAAAAAATATAAATTTTGTGTACTGTTTGAAAAGGAAAAAAAGCAAAAATTGTTAAACATATTATTTTTTGCCTTATTCAATAGTAATGTACTAACAGATTAAATTAAATTTTTAGATTTACCAGGTAATTATTAAAATTAGATCAAGGATTTAAAATAAAATAAAGAGGAAGAGGAGGTGTTTGGACCAATCAGAACCCAAGAAAACAGTGACGTTGCCAGGCTATATGTCTCTCCTGCAGATTCAAAGGAAAACATCTCAGAATCAGTGGTGTCTTGGGCCCTGCCCTTAACCTCTGGTCTTCTCTGCAAATCCAGAGGAAAATCTCTTAGAATCTGTCATATCTTAAGTCCTGCCTTTAAAGCTGCTCTGCAGATCGAGAGGAATGAAAAAGGGAATGTTTTTAAGGAGATTTTATTTATAGAAAGACAAAAAAAATCCCTAAAAATCGGGAATGACCCAAATGTTATAAAACTTGGTGGACTAAGAGTGATCGATGTGCCCTCCATGTATGGTGATTTTCACTTCTCTAGTCCTAAAACTGAGGGGAAGGTCCATTTTTTTTTGTTCATTTGGACAAAAGAATGAAACAGCTGATTTGGAAAGGCCCCGTTTTCGGAGGCAGCGCTCAAAAATAAAAATGGGCGATACGAATGAAACAACCTGAAACTGATAGCGATTCTATACAAATGCACAAGACTAGTTAGCAATGCTGGCTTATCATTATCAAGACAGCTATCAAAAATCTTGAAGAATATTTGCTACAGTGAATTCAGAAATCCAGTTCAGGGCAGGAAATTCCTTAAGCAGACGCCAATAAATGGGGATCTGTCTGGGAGAATCATTGCCAGGAGAAATATGTTCAAGGAGAATGACCTGTTCAAGAAAGTGAGCACAGCATAAACTGACTGAGATGAATTGACCAATTGTATAGAAATATGTTGTATAGAAATTGTATAGAAATAGAAACAAGAGACCTCTTCCAGAAAATTAGAAACATTGGAGGTAAATTTCAGGCAAAAATTGGTATGATAAGAAACAAAGATGGCAGGGACCTAACAGAAGCTGAAGAGATCAAGAGAAGGTGGCAAGACTATACAGAAGATCTGTATAGGAAGGATAATAATATCGAGGATAGTTTTGATGGTGTGGTGAGTGAATTAGAACCAGACATCCTGAGGAGTGAGGTTGAATGGGCCTTAAGAAGCATTGCTAACAACAAGGCAGCAGGAGATGACGGGATCCCAGCTGAACTGTTTAAAATCTTGAAAGATGATGCTGTCAAGGTGATGCATGCCATATGCCAGCAAATATGGAAAACACAAGAATGGCCATCAGACTGGAAAAAATCAACTTATATCCCCATACCAAAAAAGGGAAATGCGAAAGACTGCGCAAACTTCCGTACAGTGGCCCTTATTTCTCATGCCAGTAAGGTAATGCTCAAGATCCTGCAAGGAAGACTCCAGCAATACATGGAGCGAGAGTTGCCAGATGTTCAAGCTGGGTTTAGAAAAGGCAGAGGAATGAGAGACCAAATTGCCAATATCCGCTGGATAATGGAGAAAGGCAGGGAGTTTCAGAAAAACATCTACTTCTGCTTCATTGACTATTCTAAAGCCTTTGACTGTGTGGATCATAATAAATTGTGGCAAGTTCTTAGTGGGGATGGGCATCCCAAGCCACCTTGTCTCTCTCCTGAGGAATCTGTACAAGGACCAAGTAGCAACAGTCAGAACTGACCACGGAACAACAGACTGGTTCAAGATTGGGAAAGGCGATACGGCAAGGCTGCATCCTCTCACCCAACCTTTTTAACTTGTATGCAGAACACATCATGCGATGTGCGGGGCTGGATGAATGCAAAGCTGGGGTGAAAATTGCTGGAAGAAACATTAACAACCTCAGATATGCAGATGACACCACCCTGATGGCCGAAAGCGAGGAGGAGCTGAGGAGCCTTCTAATCAAGGTGAAAGAAGAAAGCGCAAAAGCCGGGTTGCAGCTAAACGTCAAAAAAACCAAGATTATGGCAACAAGAATGATTGACAACTGGAAAATAGAGGGAGAAAACGTGGAGGCCGTGACAGACTTTGTATTTCTAGGTGCAAAGATTACTGCAGATGCAGACTGTAGCCAGGAAATCAAAAGACGCTTACTTCTTGGGAGGAGAGCAATGTCCAGTCTCGATAAAATAGTGAAGAGTAGAGACATCAGACTGGCAACAAAGATCCGCCTAGTCAAAGCCATGGTATTCCCTGTAGTAACCTACGGATGTGAGAGCTGGACCTTAGGGAAGGCTGAGCGAAAGAAGATCGATGCTTTTGAGCTGTGGTGTTGGAGGAAAGTTCTGAGAGTGCCTTGGACTGCGAGAAGATCCAACCAGTCCATCCTCCAGGAAATAAAGCCCGACTGCTCACTGGAGGGAAAGATACTAGAGACAAAGTTGAAGTAGTTTGGCCACATCATGAGGAGACAGGAAAGCCTAGAGAAGACAATTATGCTGGGGAAAGTGGAAGGCAAAAGGAAGAGGGGCCGACCAAGGGCAAGATGGATGGATGGCATCCTTGAAGTGACTGGACTGACCTTGAGGGAGCTGGGGGTGGTAACGGCCGACAGGGAGCTCTGGCGTAGGCTGGTCCATGAGGTCACGAAGAGTCGGAGACGACTGAACGAATGAACAACAACAACAACAACATAGAAATATGTAGTGGGATTTCTGAGTGACATTTGAGATTTTCTTGTTTTTTTAAAACATTACGATAGTTACAATATCAAATACACTTTGTAATATTAACTGTTGCATAACTTTTAGGAATCCAGCAGAATCTTCATGTTGTTTTGATTATGGATTCTACCAACATGAATTTCACAATAAACTGTGAAAGTAATCCCGCACTTCATAAGAAATGCCAGGTGCTTTGGATGGACAGTTGGTCTGAAAGCAGTATGAAAAAGGTAATATTTTCAATATGAAAATAAAGAGGCACTCGGTTTCTTTAATACCCTCCAATAATTGCATTTCAAGTAATTGTTCTGCTTTGTGCATTTACTAACATATAGGTTAGCATAGCAGGTGCTGGGGATCACAAGATATCCTAGAAGTTGTAATGATTACAAAGTTCTAATCTATGTTTTAATATTTGCTTTACAGAGCTTTAGATTTGTGGTGGCATGTGTTCTTTTTTTCTTTTCACAGCTACAAAAGTTTATGTTTCTTTATGGTTTTTCTAATTCACATCATTAGGTTTTGCTCCTGTGCAGAACCTCTTCAGAATTATTTTAAGGCTGAACCAATCTATATGATCACATTCCCTGAAAGCAGTAATTTTGAGGGATGTCCCAATACCAGAATTATGCAACCTTTTGCTCTACTACTAACTAAATATCAGGTCAAGGGCTGAATCAGTTTTGTATGTTGTATTCTCTCATCTGTTCTGCCCAGACATGGAGCTCTCTGCTATTCAGTTAGCTTGCCAATTACCCATTTGTGGGATTCACAGAGACCACAAAGAAGAAGAGATTGCTTACGTCTAACTATGGTTCTTTGAGAGATCATCTGTCAATTGATATAATCGTCCTTTCTTCATCTGCTTTCACTAGGAGGACAAGGAACTAAGGAGTCACCTGAAGTGTGTCTAGGCATCCACACTGACAGGAGTTTGGTCAAGGTTTCCATTGGAAAAGTTCTAAAATATTCAGTGGCAGGCTCTGTGCAGATATAAAACCGGCCTTCTCTAACATCATTTGAAGTAAACAAATGGGATTGCTTCGTTCCCAGTTCTACTGGATTTTGCTGTTCCCACTGGCATAATCCCACTGCTAGATTAAAAATCCCACTACTAGATTAAACATGTACTAGGAGAGTGCGACGTGGGGGGACAAGTGAAAGAAAAGGAAAAAATGGGGATAATAGATTAATTATTGGTAGTTGTGTCTTTACAAATGTCTAATATGTTGCAAGGAAAAAACAAAGAGGGTGAGGGTTGTTGAGGTATGGGGAATCCCCCCCCCCATTATCATTGTTACAACTAAGTCTTTATCTCTATTTCTTTCACACAATATTAAGTCCATTGGTTGTCTCTTCTTATGTCTTCTCCCATTGTCTCCTGACCTTTATATATTCTTTTCCCGTCCTTCTTAAAGGGAAATTGATCTTAATTTTTCATAACCGATTGTTTCATATGAAATCTTTTCTTAAATTAGTTATTATTAATATGTACAAAGAAAGTTACACAATTTTCATCTAGATTGTTAGGTTAGTATTTATATATTTTTTATCATTATCATGCTGTCTCTCTTTCCGTATTACATCAAATATATTTTCCATCTACAACTCTTAGGTTCAAAAACTCTTTTGATTTAACCATAATCTGGTGACAGTTTTTGTTCTTTTCTTATATTTTACATTTCAGATACCTGACATGTTATTTTCTGAATCAGATGAAAAAATAGGAAAAACACCAAAAGAGCGCACAAAGAGGAATTCAGGTAAAATTTTCTGTGATTCTGTTATGCAGTCATATAATTATATGCAATTTAAAAGCTGAAACAATTTTAAAGGTATATTATTATTTAAATGATGATGCATTACACAAAACTTTGTAATTTCTTCATTGTCCATTTCAATTTTAATTGTAATTCATTTCAATTAAAATAACAGAAAAAAATTATTACATTTTCATATCGAAACAGATTATAGTAACCTATCTGTGGATTCATTTCTCTGATGTGATAAACAATTCAAAAACCTCTACAACTCAATGAAAATATAATTGAAATAGAAAAAATATAGGCAAATACCTTGGTAGTAGCAAAATGGGACTCATGTGCTGTACAAATGAGCATTCAATGAATGATTGTGTGCTCCACACACACTTTCTTTTTCACCTTGATGGAGATACAGTAAGATTCCCATATCTGCACAAAAGTTCCATTCTGCTACATCCACTGAGATTTTTGTATTTATTATTTCTTTTTCTTCTGTATTTTTCACCTGCTCCTCACAGCAGATACCAAGGATCTTTCTGTAGTTAAATGATAGAGGATGCCTTTCCGTGAAACAATTTGATATTTAAGTTATTTTGAAACTCGCCACCCAAAAATCTGTGGATCAAGTAACATTAAAAAACCTGATAATCTTTACAACTGAAAGTGTTAAAAACCTCAGAGTAATTTTTATAAATAGCAAAGAACATATATCGTTGTGTGCCTCACACTGAAAGAAAAAACTGATAGAAACAATGGGCCACATCTAGAATAAGACCCAACTTTGTGATTTCAATATATATATCATGATCTTTGTTTTAATAGCCATTTACAAATTCCTAGCCTATGCAGCAATTGTATATTTTTAATATGTGACTTAGGTGATTCTGAATTCTTAAAGTCATTTCTGACGATCCACGAGTCATGTAAACAACATGGAGCTACACCCAGAAGATACATGACTTTCCTGCATATGTATCGTGCTATTCACAACAGCAAAAGGACAGAGTTAATAAAAAGGCAAAGTCATTTGCAAGTATGTAAAATTTATTTGATTTTGAGGGGGTCAGTGCCTCATTATGGTGCCTTTTATGTATGCTGAAGAAGTAAAATGATTCTTGAATTTCTTGACTAGAGAGTTCTTTTTCATTCTAGCATTTCCCTTACAACTATAGCCATGTCTGAGCAGTATTTGAGATCAGTTGAACATCCCATTAACCTATTAGCGGTTTGATTGCTCATTTTACTGTGACTCTTAAACTGATAAAAACTGCAAAATATATGTTTTCATCTTAAGTCAGAACATGAACACATTGTTTGAAATTCTTACTTGATATTTTTAATATTTTCTTGACTTAAATTGAAGAATTTCCTTATTAGGTTTGCAGTTTCTGTCCTGGAGTAAATAACTGGCAAAATTATGGTTTGGTTTTTACTGACTTTGTCTCAGGACATGAGTGAGAGCGTTCTCGCTTCCAAAATGTAGAATTCATTCCAACATGCCCTCTTTCTGCCAGTTGATGAAAACTTTGGTATTTACCCATGCCTTTGAGTGTTTTCTATTGCAGAAATTTGTGTTTGTTTTTTTAAAGTCATGTTGTGGTTGTATTTTTATCAGTATTTTTATATTTTAATTGCCTTTTAAATTTTGTTTTAAAACCATGTTTTAATATAGTCAGGGTTTTTTTTTTAATGTGCACTACCAATTCTTTCTACTTTATTTTGTTTTAACTCAAATTGTGAGTGGCCTTGAGTTCCATATTGGGAGAATTTGCTTTTCCCTTCTTGCAAACCTGGGAGAGGAGGGCTATTTGCCTCCTCAAAGAAATGAGGCAAGTAACATAAAAGAAGTTGGGGACGGAGCCTGGTCAGGCAAATCCTGTTTTCCCTCCTCATTCCATCTTGTTAGCCTACCCATCCCACCCTTTAACACTGTACCATGATAGTAGGGGGTTGCTTCAAGGCCAGGTAGGAATCCCCCTTTTTAATGTTTTTCCCCCTCCTACCCTACACTGTTGAGGTTTTTGGGAAATTGACATTGGGCATTGCCTAAAATAGATTTTCATGTGGGAAATGGGGATGGAATTAAACATGTTGGTGTGCACCTATGTCACCCATTTTGTGAAGGCCAGGAATGGGAACCCCCACCTGTAAGTTCGGTCAACTGAGGTGGGGGCGAACAGAAATGGCTTTGGACCTGTGTTTAAAGTTCTAATCCTTGAAGTCTTACAACTGGGAATTTGAATTCTCTATACAGTTTCCCAAGAGTTACCCTGGTTACAACTCAGGTGAGTTATGCGGGGAACTCAGATGTCTTGCCCAAGTCAGCTGAGGAGGGATCAGAGATGGCCACTGCCTCGGTTTACACAACATCAAGTTCAAACCCCCACTTTTAGCTGTTTGCAACTCATGAAGAAAGTTTAAATAGGTAGCAATTCAATAAAAGTTGTCCATAGTTATCTCAACTCAGTTGCCCTCTCTCAATATTTTGTTGTGGGTGGGCAAAAGTAGGATGTAAATGGAATAAAACATATTTTTATCTGATCTGTTTTTAAAATGCTGTCAACAGGAAATACCTGTAGATTTATGGCTTTCTAAGGCCCCTTCCACACAGCTGAATAAAATCCCATATTTTCTGCTTTGAAGTGAGATATATGGCAGTTTGGACTCAGATAACCTAGTTCAAAGAAGATATTGTGGAATTTTATTCCTTGATATTCTGGGTTATATGGTTGTGTGGAAGGGCTCTAAATCACCCCAAATCAACCTCCATTTGTTATTTTTAGGCTGGAGTGGCTAAACTGAATGAAGCCAAAGCTCTTGTGGATGAATTAAACAGGAAAGCTGAAGAACAAAGTGTATTGCTTAAAATGAAGCAAGATGAAGCTGATGCTGCTCTTCAAGAAATCACCGTTTCTATGCAGGTATTATGTTTTAGCACAAAAAGTTGTGAAGGCAGTAGATGAATGTGGTCTGTGGAAAAGCATATTGACAAAAGAGTTGAAATAGAAAGGAGATAAAACAATTAAATGGAACAATGTGGGACTATGATGGTAAAAGCATGGAACAGATATAAATTTCTACAGTCGTTGTACACTCTTATATAATTTCTCTTGAAAAATAATTATAATGGAAACTAATATTGTAAATAATGACTTTTTATTACCAAATAATTTATATGAGTTTATTCCCTTCAATAATATCTCCTTTCCTGTAGAATGCAAGTGAACAAAAATCTGAAATGGAAAAAATAAAGCAGAAAATTGCACAAGAAGTTGTAAAAATTGAAGAAAGAAAAGGAATAATAGAGGATGAGCTAAGGGAAGTTCAGGTAATCTGTGCAGAAAATTATTCATTCTTGTCTTTTATCTTGTGTCACAAAAAAGTAAAGGGTGTATATGTGTGTGTTATGACTGGCCTGAAAATAAATAATTAAAAATGTATGTGTCTTATTAATAGGGAGATGCAGCCCTTCTATGAAGCCATTTTCCTTTCAATGATGCTGGATGATTTCTGCTAGGAATTTAGAAGGGTGAAGAAGTTAGGAGACTTCTCCCAGGCGTTTCTTCTTTGCTTATCACTTCTTTGTTTTTTGAGTCTCATAATGTGCTATCTTAGTAACCTATGTGAATATTTATTTCATAATTGCACTTCCTGTGATGTCACCACGAGTCCCTTTGGGGAGAGGAGGCAGGATGCAAATAAAGCTAATAATAATAATAATAATAATAATAATAATAATAATAATAACAATAATTCCTGCTTATATTTCTTTGCCATGAATTCTCTTAGCTTCTACCTTATTTTATTGGATCTCCAGTCCAGCTTTCCAATGTTTCTGGTTTTCTGTGCCTGAAACTTTTTTTGGGGGGGGGGGGGGGGGGGGGGGGGGGGTAACTTTCAATTCATTTTCTTAGTTTCTGTGGTTTATGCAATATGGAGTATTCTGAGCTTATGCAATTCTTATGACAATAGAAATCGAGGCTTTAGCATTGGTATTTTATTATTATCGTTTTCATATTCTCAGTAAGCTGAACTACATGTGGGTTAATTCCCTGGACCAATCACCAAAATTCCAAACGATGGCAGCCACCACCTCCTTAAATACACTCCCCTCAGGATGTAACATCACATCTTGTTGATCAATTTACCATTTTTTTCAATATAATTCTAATTGAAATAAAATAAAATAATACATTACAATAATTTGCATCAGGCTCTATAGAGCAGTTCGATTGGTTATGACTTTTGATTTACTAGCTGTGTGGAAGGATCTTTGATTATAGATTCAACATTTATTCCAAAAATGTCAATACAGATAAGGGCATCTATAGAATTTCTCCTTTCTGCCCAAACCCCTAGCAACTACTAGAAAAGAGGTGGCATTCTTGGATGTCAGAAGTGCGGTAAAGGTGTATCTTCAGTGGACAAAGGAAGTCACATGGACAGAGGCTTTGCTTATCTCCTTTAATCTAAGATCTTTGAGGCATAAAGCAACCAAGTAGATGCTTTGTAGATGGATTATAATTTATACTTATTTGTACAATGACTTGGCTAAAGTTCCAGGGCCACAATGTATTTGGGCACAACTCTACCACAAGCATCCTCAAACTGCAGCCATCCAGCTGTTTGGACCTCCAACTCCCAGAATTCCTGACCATTGAACAAGCTGGCTAGGGCTTCTGGGAGGTAAAGACCCAAACAGCTGGAGGACTGCAGTTTGAGGATGCCTGCTCTACCAGATACAGCAGCCTTTCGAGAGGTAACTTCAATTGAAGACATTTGCAAAACCGCTGAATGGAAAGAGTCATCCACTTTTGTCACACTTTTCAATCTGGACAAATTCAGATCAAGCAGCCTTTGGAAAGAATGGTGTTGCAAACAGTGTTACAAGAGAGTACTAGCTGGATCCACTCTTGAAATAGTGGCTTGGTTATATTTCACGGAGAGTGGATTGCTCCATCACCCTTCTCTAAGAATGAGAGGTTGATACTTACCATGGATGATCATTAAAGGGATGCTGAAGGAACATCTATTTCTATCCAGAGATATTTTTTCCTACTGTTTTCTTAAGGTTTTCTTAAACATTCTAGTAAATATCGTGCCTCTTTTCAGTTGTGGAGACTTTGTAAAATTCCAGCTTCAGAAGTAGCTTTGTTAAAAGTGAATTACTTTAATAACCTTGTTACATTTCTCTTTTTAGCCACTTGTACATGAAGCTAAATTAGCTGTTGGAAATATCAAACCAGAATCTTTGTCAGAAATCCGCTCCTTACGTGTACCCCCTGACATAATTAGAGACATACTGGAAGGGGTCTTACGGCTTATGGGTATTTTTGATACATCATGGGTGAGCATGAAGAGGTATGACTTTTTTTTATTTTTCTTTAGAACTAGTGTACTTGTATTTCTTTTCACAGTATTATGCATTTCTTTCTAACTATTAAAGAAAGACCATGGTATTAAATATAGATATGAACCCAGTGTGATGTGGTAAAAGAGTGTTGGAGTAGGTTTGGAAGACCAAGATATGAATCTCTACTCAGCCAGAATTGAGCTGAAGGCACACATAGATAGCAAATAATTGTAAATAGAATACATTTTATGCAAAATGTTTTAACATAATCACCAGTTCATTTTTTTTTAAATCAACAATTGTAATCCTTTTTTTCCCCTGTTTTTGAATTCTTTAATGTTTTGCAGTTTCCTTGCCAAAAGAGGTGTCAGAGAAGACATTGCAACTTTTGATGCTCGAAATATTCCGAAAGAAATTCGTGAGAGCGTAGAAGAACTTTTAGCTAAAAATAAAGCATCTTTTGATCCAAAGGTAAGTTTTAAAATACATGTAAATCAGTTATTCCCAAAGTGAGCATTACTGCCCCCTGGTGGGCGCTGCAGCGATCCAGGTGGGGCAGTAATGGTCGTAGGTGCATTTGGTGATGAATAACTGTAAGAGGCAGTGAAAGCATAAAAGAAAGAAGGGAAGATTTAGACAAATTGATTGCCAGGGGGTAGGCCAAATAAGTTTGGGAACCACTGATGTAAATACTATAGTTTGAATCTGTCTTACCTGGAAATCTGAAATATAGAATACTCCAAAAATCAAAATGTTTTGCCAGCCACCCCACACCTGCCTTTGGGGAAAGGGGTTAGTTACACATCCAGTGCCTTCTCAGTTTTCCTCTCAGTTTCTGGGAGGTAAAGGCTCTCTGATGGGAGAAGGATAAGAGCAGGATGGCTTCACTTATGCAAGTCTTTCCCAGGCTGTCATCACATTTTCTGCTCATTTAGCAAAATAGCCAGGAAAGGAGGTGAAATCCCCCCCCCCCCCCAAAAAAAAAAAGAGAGAGTCATTTCCACATTCTCTGGATTGGATACAGTCAGTGGCCACTAGTTCCTCTTGGCACTTGTCCTTGTAGCACATTTCCAACTATTGGCTGGACGGAAGACAATCATGGAACCATCCTCCCCCTCTTCCCTCAGTTCTCTTTCTCTCATCAATTTCTAACAGTGGTGGAGCAAGGGCTGGACATGTGACCAAACTAGGCACATAGGTATCAGAAAATTAGGAGAGGAGGAATTCCCAAAACACTTCTGGTCCCAAGCATTTCAGATAAGGGCAATTTGAGTTGATTAAATGGATTCTTGATTATGTGTTACGCAGAATGTTTGCATTTTACTAATTATTGTATTATTTTCCTAATACAAACTGATTTGCTATAATAATTAGGCATTTTGTGGAAAAGATGAGAATCCTGTATTTATTCATATATTTTAATTATGCTGTTGGTTTTAAGAAAGAATATAATTGCCATTGCTTTATATTGTCTGTCCCATACATCTTCAGAGGTAGAGCTGAATACAGACTACTGGGCTGAAGCACGGGCCCTTGTCAGCATAGTCCAGCTTTGTCTTTACCAACTCCCGTGGAAGACGCTTCTAGTCAACATTAAAAATAAAATATTGAATTGTGCAGTCATTTCTCCCTTCTGATCCACCCAGTAACCAGATATACTAAAATATTCTTTTATCTCATTCTCAGCTGCTAGCTGACTGTCCCTAGCTTCTGCTGATAGTGGTAGCATGCTGTTATTAAAAATATTTTCTTGTCAACCCACATGAATAAAGAGGCAATATAAAGAAAAAGGAGATAGAAGGGAGGGAAGGGTTGAGATGAAGATATTTTTCTTTTTCTTCCCTTGAACTGATAGCCTCCAAGACTGTGGGTGTACATGCAATTGTTTCATGGGCGTAGAGGAATACATATAATTTTATGTACACTTAATTTTATGTACACTTACTTATGCATTAGTCCTTTCAGTTTTATTAGGAGCATTTCTTGTTGGGGAATTCCATGGTTCAAAGCAGATTGCTGCTTATATTTCCTGCCTGTGACTTCCTGCTGAAGCTCAGCTGTGCTGTTACTTTATAGTGTTTTTTGATGGTGAGGATGATTGCAATGGTGAAATGAGACTTTTGCTGGAAATCTGAATAACAATAACTTGTGGGGATGACCATATAGATTCTAGGTTGCTTACTCCCTCCCAAATGAGGAAGAACTTCCTGACTGTGAGAGCCGTTCAGCAGTGGAACTCTCTGCCCCGGAGTGTGGTGGAGGCTCCTTCTTTGGAAGCTTTTAAACAGAGGCTGGATGGCCATCTGTCAGGGGTGATTTGAATGCAGTATTCCTGCTTCTTGGCAGGGGGTTGGATTGGATGGCCCATGAGGTCTCTTCCAACTCTTTGATTCTATGATCTATGAAACACCCCTTTTTAAGCTTCAGTATTCAGCTTTCATGGTTGATTAGAATAATAGAATCATAGATTTGGAAGAGACTTCATGGACCATCCAGTCCAACCCCCTGCCAAGAAGCAGGAAAATTGCATTCAAAGCACCCCTGAGAGATGGCCATCCAGCCTCTGTTTAAAAGCCTCCAAAGAAGGAGCCTCCACCACACTCTGGGGCAGAGAGATCTTTTAGATCATGACGGGGAGTTTTTTCAAATTCATACCTATAAAGGGGGAGTGGGAGGTCAGTGAAATTGTCTCATCTTATTTCTCCTTTTGTTTCTGAGACTGTCTAGTTTAGAATGCTGTCTGCACAAACTAACCCTTGGATGTCTCAGCAAGTCCTCAATTGAACTATGAAGAACATCCTATAAGAAACCAGGATAAATGCAGCCTATTTCATTTCTGTTGGCATTCTATGGCTGTTAAAGTAGATGAGCAATTAGTAAAATTAATAAAACATTCAAAAAGATATTAGTGTCAGTAAGTTCGAGAGAAGGGGGTATTAATTTTATGGCTCCCTGAAGACTATAGAACCTTCATGATGTTATGGTTTTGAATGCTGGATTATTACTCGAGAACAGGGCTTCTTAAACTTTTCCACTTATGATCCCTTTCTGTCCTAGAAATTGTAGGTGACCTCAAGCATATAGGTATTTAAAATAGACAGGAAACCCAAAAAATGCTGATAAGGCTTGCTAAACAGATTGATTTTCCTTTTAATGGAGTACAGCTGAAACATATTCTCCAGTGTCTACTGTAAACACTGCACGTTGTTGCTAACAGATTTGTGTAAATGGATAGTGTTCAGAAACCTTTTACTAATGCCAAATACTTTGTGACCCCAGCATTGAGCTAAGGGTACCACATTTGGGATTGGAACCCACAGTTTAAGAAGCAGTGCTCTAGAAAACCTTTTTGCTCAGCCTCAGAAACCCACTGTGTGCAGATTCTCTTGCCTTAGAGGGAGAAAATGACAAACTTTATCTGAATACATAAACCCACTATATTTATTATGGAATGTATAGGTAGAAATCCTCTTAATAGGAGACTCCCAAAATACATTAGTACAGAAGTTGGAAATGATGCAGTATGAATAATGTTGTGTGCCTTTAGGATGCTAAGATCCTGTCAGCACACAAATATGGTAGCAGCCCCTGGTACACTGGAAAAATAAAATGTTTGATCTCCTACATGAGATAGCCAGAGGAGGACTCCTCTAAGCATTGAGACTTAGTCTAGAGTTACTAGCTGTCCTGTATGACACTATATGCCGGTTGCAATGTGTTATTTGTAAAAGTATATTTTATCTGTTAAGACCAGTAGATTTATTCTTAAGATAAAAGATCGTCAAATGTTTCAGAATGCTAAGAGAGCCAGTGTTGCAGCTGCACCCTTAGCAGCATGGGTGAAGGCAAATGTTCAATACTCCTACGTCCTGGAGCGAATTCAGCCTCTGGAAACTGAACAAGCAGATCTAGAAGCGTGAGTACTGCACATTATTCTTTATTAGGGTTGGATAGGTTCGTTTGGAAAAACCTGAAAGTCAGAACAAAACATACGAATGTGGACTTCCGATGCAGTTTTGAACCATGCAGTAAAGGTGGGGGAGGAAATCCAAATTTGAACCACTTATCCTTTCCCTCCAGAAATACTATATAATGTTCGGATGTCTCCCAAGGTTATTTTAATTTTCACAACCATGAAGCAATTTTGGTAAAGCCTAAAAACTTTTAAAATCTCATGCTTTCCCCCGGTGATGCAAGGAGGGATGAGGTGGGCATGGCTAATCACAGCCATCTTTAACTGTAGTTTGTGAAGGCCAGGCCCCCAATGGTAGAGATTGCAAAAGGCCCTGCTGTTAAACCACATTTCCCACACTGCCCTGCTGGTCATTAGCCAAAATGTCTGAAGGACCCCAAAATAGCTGTCTGTAGCAGTCTTGGTCTAAATATAAAATGAACTAATTGAATCTACAAAGGTGTCTAAAGAAGGCAGCAAAACAATAAGCAACTTTTGCAAAGCCAAGAGAACATAAACTGCTTAAAAACCAATCATTTTACTTTTGCCTGATTGCCATTAGCAAGGCACTGGGGTAGCCAGCCACAGCCAGCCCTTTACTGTCAGCAAGTAATGATAAAATAAAATGATTGATTGCATCTGCAAAAAGGAATGAACGGATGGATGTGTCTTGAGGGTCCCCTCCAACTTGGTAGAGGAAGCAAATGGATGCCAGGAGAGTTTGGATGGTGCCTTTCTGCCCGGAAGAAGGGGGTCAGTCTAGATGTCCCTTGATGGGATCTGTACTATAATTTCTGTTCTCTACTAATTTAATACAGTTTGTGCCACACAAACAAAGTGTCTGGAGTAGAACAACTACTCTCAAAGTAAAGACCACCCAATGAGACAGGAAACAATACTTTCAAACTAGGAACAGATTTTCTTTATTGTTAAAAAAAATGTTTTTTATAAAAACTTTGAAAATTCACCAAAAATCCATGGAGAAATCAAAGGTTATAAAATTTGGTGAGCTAACAATGGTCCATGTGTTCTAACACTGTAGCAAAGTTCATCAGGATTGTTCTAAAAATGAGGGAGGGGGAATACCTTGAAGTTTTCCCAGTGTCAGTGCTGTTTTTTTCCTACTGCGCATGCGTTTCCGCATTAACAAATCGATTCATAAGTTTCTAATTTTAAAAAAAAAATCGGAAGTGACTTTACAATTGAACCACCAGCGCCTCCTACATCTGAAACGAGTTTTGAACCATTTTTTAAATCAACCAAGCCTATTTTATACCTGTTCGAGATTCCTTTATAGCCATCAGATATTAACTTAAAAGCTGAAAACATTTGTTGGATTAACGTAATGGTAGAAGAGTTGACTCAGATCTGAAGAATAAATATCTCATGTCTTTTAGACTGCAGTTTTGAATTCAGCATTATATGGCTTCAATATTGAAATGCTTGATGGTTTCTAAATACACTGATGGATCTTTGTTCTAGAGAAATGTTTTATTACCTGACTTGTATATCTTAATGGGAACAATATGAGTATTATTTAATCTAAAGTTGTGGCTATATGCATATTAAAAAATAAGTCCAGTTGTTTGGTTGTTTTCCAGTAAGTCTGCATAGGAGAATATTACACATCCTTAAACGTGCTGAGAATATGGATTTCCCTTCAAAAACAAAGTTTGAAATGCAATTTTTATGTGTTCAGGTGCAAACATCCAGTATATATCTCTTTCCTCAGAGAATAGAAGATTTGAAGGTCGTGACAGAAATTAATATTTTCAGTTCATAGATATGAACAATTTCTGTCTTTGATAAGTACTTTTGGCTGTTAATACACATTTGTACTATCACCCATTTTTGCATCCTGGTTGATAAAGATGTTCTCAGCGGATGTTCCATATATTTTTCAGTAACCTCAGGAAAACAGAAGAAAGAAAACAAAAGCTGGAAGATTTGGTTAATTCTGTTGGTCAAAAGGTGGCTGAATTAAAAGACAAGTATGTGTTCTTCCTTTCAAAATGCTTTTGATTTTCTCTTCCTTATATTTGACTTTAATAATCTATTAGAACCTGGATTGCTTTTTGGAGTAATGCTTTCCATCTGAAATGAGAATTAAGCCTGACTACAGAGCATTTGTTTTTGTTACTGAAGATGTCTTAAAAGTGTATTTGATCTACAGGTTTCAGGCTAGAACAAGCGAGGCAGCTAAGCTTGAAACAGAAGTTGCTAAAGCACAAGAAACTGTGAAAGCTGCGGAAATATTGATTAAACAGCTTGATAGGGAGCATAAGAGATGGAATGCACAGGTTGGTGGTTAAATCTTTTATAAAAATTTACCATTTTCATCTTTCTCGAAGTTGAGTGGTGTTTTGATTTCAAAAAATATTTTGTATCTGTTCTGTGTTTCCAAGTAGGTTTATTTTTGTATAATTATCTTCTACTTTTAGATGTCTTCTCTTTAAAAGTTTTGTGCATTTCATGTTTCATCCAAAACGTTCGCATTCCATAACTCTAAAAGTAAGAGTGAGATTTCCTGCCTCCAGGCTGTAATGATGGTTGTTTCTTAGTTATAGGATGGCTCATATCAAGAAAAGAAGTTAATCAGATAGGCAAATATAGTTTTTCTTCTTAAAGTTAATCTTTGTAAATTTTTAGGGGCCATACCAAACTTGTATTTTTTGCAGAATGTTCACAAAGTATCAATAAATGAAATTAAAGTTACTGTATGTGGAAAGTGGATAAAAACTGGACAATATGTCTAGGATGCATTTCTGATTATTTGTATCTGAACATATTCAGTGTTGGCCAGATAACCATCTTTATGGATAAGTGGATATCTTGCAATGCTTCCATACTCACGCAAAAATGTATTGTAAACACAAACTAAATGTAAATAATCATGTCATAAATCTATTCTTTTTAGGTTTCAGAGATAGCTGATGAATTAAGTACACTGCCAAGGAGAGCTCAGCTATCTGCTGCTTTTATTACTTACCTTTCTGCTGCTCCAGAAGATCAAAGAAAAACAAGTTTGGATTCATGGACAAAATCGGCTGGACTAGAAAGTAAATGTTGTTATTTCTTTAACAATACAACAAGTAAACGAATTAGTACTGTATTCTTAAAATTCATAGTATATACTGTAGCACTGATTGACTAGTAAGTCTGAACAAGGAAGCATGGTGTATGTAACTCAATGTCCTCAGATTTGATTGCAGTGAGCCTCTTCTCAAACAGGGTGAAAGATCACTTTCTGAACTCCGTCTGACTAAAATAATACTCAACTAAAAAGGTAAAGGTAGTCCCCTGACATTAAGTCCAGTCATGTCTGACTCTGGGGTGTGGTGCTCATCTCCATTTCTAAGCCGAAGAGCCTGCGTTGTCCGTAGACACCTCCAAGGTCATGTGGCCGGCATGACTGCATGGAGCGCCGTTACCTTCCCGCTGGAGCGGTACCTATTGATCTACTCACATTTGCATGTTTTCGAACTGCTAGGTTGGCAGAAGCTAGGGCTGACAGCGGAAGCTCACACCGCTCCCCGGAATCGAACCTGCAACCTTTCGATCAACAAGCTCAGCAGCTCAGTGCTTTAACCCACTGCGCCACTGGGGGCAACTAGCAATGCTCATATTCTTCCTTTATCGAATAATGGCAAAAGTGGCAATTTGTTTATTTTTGGACTGCTGTAGCCAACTTGTTTTATCCTGGGATCCCAGCAAGAAAAACCTGTGGTTTAAATCCAAATGTTAGTTCCAACAAAAGTAGACTTATTAGATCAGTGGGACTTAACAAGTGTTGACTTAAGAGGTCCATTAATTCAGTGAGACCATTCTTGTTAGGCTGAATTGACTTAGATTCAGCACTCTGTGATAAAGAGCAGTTCCTCTAACAAGCACCTTAGGGAACAGATTTCAAATTTTGGAACTAAAATGCTTCTTTAGAAAGGTAAATGCTCCAGAATTAAGAACCACTATGTGCCTTTGCTTGTAACTTTCTCTTTTTCGAGTCACATGTTAAATTCTGCAGGTTTTCCTGATGGTTGATCACACACAAATCTATTTTTATATCATTGGTGGCTGTTAAACCATCTGCTCTTGGAGATGTATGTAGTTCCTGCCACATAGGGTGAAATTCTTTTAATAGCTATGTGGAGGTAATGATACCACCCTAGGAAAGAGCTTTTATAATCCATATCTTCTACCTTTTTGCTTAGCATGGAACATATCCTTTAAAATAGATTTACGATAATAGACTGATGGAAGATAAAGATAACATCCCTGACATGAGTTAGAAATGGAAGGAATAAGTTTTTTCCCTTCAGCTACTTGAGTCATGCCTAATAGATGGGTGACTCATTTTATTCAGGAAAAATCTGTTCAGTCTGCCAGATTAAATAATATTTTTATAGCATTGAGAGTGTGACTGACCAGAAACTCTGTAAAACATATCTAGACATTACAAAAAATAGCAATTAGAGTATTTTATTTATTATTAAGCCCCCTTCTATACTGCCATATAAAATCCAGATTATTTGCTTTGAACTGGATTATATTTCAGTGTATACTCATATAATCCAGCTCAAAGCAGATAATGTGTATTATCTGATGTGATAATCTGAATTATATAAAAATGTAAAAGGGACCTTAGTTATCTTCTGTTTGGTTTAAACTGTATACAACAGTCTGTGTTCACATCAATAGCTTGTCCTAGATCATGATTGGCAAAGTGCAGCTCTGGGACTGTCTGAAATGCCCCAGCTGCTTTTGCAACCTTCAATCCCTGGTTTAAAAGGGAAAGAAAAGTGAATTGACTCTCCTAGAAGAGGAGCAGCATACCTTTTATATTGGTGTTAGTGAACTCCTCCAGTGTTTAACATTTAAAAAGTACATGTTTTACAAATCCAGAAGCTATGTTTTTATTTTGCGTTTGTGTTGCATTTTTGGCAAACTATGGAGTCTCTGGAGCAGCATACAATTTGCCCTTGACCCACTACAGTTACCCATCCTTGTTCTAGATATACTTCTTCTCTGGATTTGTTTATTTACTTACTTGTTTGTTTTGCATGCCTCATAATCAGTAATACATTCTAGATACCTCTCAGAATGGGAGAAGCCTTGTAAATGTAGAATGCTCCAGTGCCTTCAAGTGAATTAAGAAATGTGTCTCCTTTTTTCTTAGAGTTTGATCTTAGGCGGTTCCTATGCACGGAAAGTGAGCAGTTGATTTGGAAAGGTGAAGGTTTACCTTCTGATGATCTATCAATAGAAAATGCTCTTGTGATCTTGCAGGTAAATTGTATGACTGTTTAGTATTTTGAGATGTGCCTATCTAATACGATGATGAATTGGCAATATCAACATGTTGCATCAATAGGAATGACCACTGCAGTGTTCAGTCCTTATAATCAACTCAATTTTCTTGAGTGTGAGTGAGAAAAAAAACCCCTTAAATCTTATATTTTTATTTGTATATTCCTGCATGCCATAGAGTTGGACTGGATGGCCCTTGTCTCTTCCAACTGTGTGTGTTTTTTTTTAATTCTGTGATTCTTGGCACAAAGTTTAAAATCATTCTTTGCCTTTACTTGATGTCAGAGAAGTTTGGGTGAACTGAAGATCATATGTGTGTTGTGTCAAATTCACTTCAGGATAATCCCCCCCCCCCCCCCCCCCCAGAGCATCATTGAAGAGTTAAAGCTTTTGTACTCTGCTCAGTGAAGTCCACATCTAGGGGCAGAAGTCCCTTCCTGCTCTGCTAATGTTTTGATTCCTGTTCAAAGTATGGACCTTTGCAGTTGTCCTTATTTTGTTTTACCATTTTTGGGTTATTGTGGGAGAGATAAAAAATGTATGACTCTTGGTTACTTTCTAAAATAAAGGTGATTTAAACATACTTCATTCTTTCCCTCTCTCTCCTCTCATTGACAGAGTAAGGTTTGTCCATTTTTGATAGACCCTTCATCCAGAGCTACAGAATGGCTGAAGACACATTTGAAAGAATCACGTTTGGAAATCATCAACCAGCAGGTCCTGTTTTACGATGCTGGAGAAATAGTCTTTCTGTTACCCTTTTTAATTGAAATGAATGAGACAGACTTAGTATAACTCCTACATTTCAGTATTTGCTATACATCAGTAACTTTTTGAAGCAACCCAGTTTTTCTTTTGTTGCTTTACAAAGATTCCTCTGTTCATCAAACCTTCTTTGAAACTGTTTACACTACATTTTTCATTTTCTGTCAATCCTATGTGAAGAATATACCAAAGCAATGTTGTTGTCCCCCTTGAGGAAGAATAACACATTTTCTTTTGTTCACAGAAGCTGGTTCTGAGTCATTTAGATAAATATAAACCCATTCATATCTCTCATGTGTTGGCCTCATTTACAGCATTCCCAGAACCATTGAAAATCTCTACATAGTGATAGATTGGCTATATTCACCTCATCTTCTACAAATATGCTGTTGTGTATAACCTAAACCAGAGTAGATCATACCTACCTCATCACCATGTTAAGTTCTCCTCTTCTGGTGTTTGAATATGGTTGTTTCCATTAGTAAGTCAAGGCTTTCCAGCTGTCCAAATACATCCTGTTTTGAGCCCGAACAGCGCTCAACCTTTTCCTTATATGGCCCAAATTGTGCTGCATCTTAAATGTGTCTGGACTGCACTCAGCAAGTACCAGTTCTGTCTGTTAATAGAACATATTTATTAGCCAGTATTCTGCTAATATAACATGTTTCTCTTTCTCCATAGTGGAGTATCGCCGTGATGGATGTCCTCCACATTAACTAATTAGAGCATTCTGAGCTGGCCATTAGTTCTAAAATCTCACATCCAAGTGGCTGTTAGTTTACTGTATCCTAGGAAAGAAATATTGGATAGAATGTATTGTCAAAGGCTTGATATTTGATAGAAACTTGTTTACATATTTGCTGACCCTGAAAATTTCTTCTTTGTGTCTTCATCTGTCTTTATTCTGTGGATGACTTTGTAATAAAAGTCGAGTTAATAGTGAAGTGGACCATTCAATGGTTATCAAATTTTATTTCTGCAGGATGCCAACTTCATTAATGCTCTTGAACTGAGTGTGCGATTTGGGAAAACCTTAATTGTACAGGAAATGGATGGAGTAGAGCCTGTTCTTTATCCATTGCTCAGGAAGGATCTTGTAGCACAAGGTAGATTTCCAACTCATAATGTTTTGGTATATTTGATAATTTGTTCTGCATTTCTGATAAAAAGACAAATCAATGGACTTTCAGAATAGTTCTGCTATCTGGCTGTATCAAATGCATATTGAAGAATATTTTTAAATGTATGCCAGTATCAGTCTGGTACAGTGTGGAATGGATGCTGAATGCTGTGGATGCTGAATAATCCTCGAGTGAATGGATTGCTTTTGCCATTCAAGAATGGACTTTTATAGTAAGTCTCAATCCATCATTTTTATTAATGGGATTTGATTTAATTACATAGGGATGATGTATAGAAAGATGCCAGAACTGATCTCATAAGTGGTGAATGGAAAAACAGAAAATAATTTTCCTGTGTGAAAGCACTGAAAAACATCTATGTGGAAAGGGAATAGTTGATGATATATCCGTGGAAATCAATAGTAAAAAGAAAATGAGTCAAGAAAGAAAGAATGATCAACTGTATTGGAATGAGAGAGGGATAAAGATATAGTCTCATTTACACCCCTCTGGTTTTGAACTGTATCAATGTTTGATATATTCATTGGTTACAGACATCTGCCACCTAATGACAGAAGCTTTCCAATACATGGACTCATTAAAATTAACACATATTAAGGGCCAGATGATATGTTGGTGTGCACATCCCAAGACTCTTTAGAATGCACACTGGCTTTTAATTGTCTTGGAACAATCATTCCAAAAGGAACCACTTACCTTTTATTATTCAGAAGATTTTATTTGTCTTTATTTTATTTTAATACAAAGATATGCATTAAACTGAACAGTTAGAATTTTTGAAAACTAGTAGTGAAATTGATTTTGGTTTTTTGCAAGCAGAATTAAAAAAAATTGTTTCTGTTCTACAGGGAAAAAAAGAAGTTAAAAGTAATTGGCTATTGTTGATATAGCTTTCTTTATGTTGCCTGCTAAATTCAAGGCAGAGATTTCTTCTCTGAGAGAAGAAGTGTGAAGAAAATGCTTGTTGGTGGGTTGCTGTGAGTTTTCTAGGCTGTATTCCCTCCTAACGTTTCGCCCACATCTATGGCAGGCATCCAACAGACCTCACAACCTCAGAGGATGCCTGCCATAGATGTGGGCAGAACGTCAGGAGAGAATGCTTCTGGAACATGGCCATACAGCCCAGAAAACTCACAACAACCCAGTGATTCCTGCCATGAAAGCCTTTGACAACAAAATGCTTGTCCTTTTATATAGCCCTGATTTTTTTTGTTCCAACTAGACCCGACCATTAACAGATTTATGTGTTGACACATCCACGAACATTTTACTCAGTAGTCAGGAGAAACTTGTAGAATTCAGGCCATTTTTGTCCGAGGTGTAATGCACTTTGTTTTTTATTATTTTTGGCTTAATTCAGATGGCAAAAGACCATCATGTTAACACTAGTATTGGAAGCAGATCTTTCTCCAAGAGTTGTTGTTTCAGAAACCCTGATGGGCTGGCAGGCTATAGATAAATGCTTAAATTAAACAAACACTAAATAATAGATGCCAGGAGACAGACAAGTAGAAATGCTCATTAACTGTGCAACTGTGTGGTTTGGAGTAAAAATAATAATAACTGGATACAGCAGCAGGGGAAGCTCTGGGCCCTAGAAGCAAGTCATTTTCATGACACTTTTTGACAGCATAAAACATTCCATTGAGTTTTCAATCAACATGTTTTAACAGTTATATTAGCCAATTAGTGTGCACTTTCAGGTTTAGTTAGAACATCGCTAATTCAAGTGGAAAGCTTAATTTAAACCAGTGAACAAATTGATCTGTGCTTACTTAGATATCTGCTTTTTGTCCTGCAGTAATGGGAGGAAATAAGATCAAATTCCATCCAGCTCTGTTTTATTTCTGCTATTTGGGATGTAAGTGGAAGATGTGCCACTAATAGCCCTGCTAGCTTTCTGGTCTGTGAAACACTAGTATCTGAGCTGGCTTAATTTAGAAAATAGGAACACTTTTACTGTGCAGAATTAACCTCTGTTCCTCATCTGCAGTTGTATTTTTCTTCGGTGTGCAATTATAGATACAGAACCCGGGTTCTTCATTTCTTGGCTTGTATTAGGAATGTTTCACAGCCTGACATACAAAATATGTGTGTGTGTGTGTGTTTCAGTGACTTATTACTTGCAAAGATTCTATTTATGAGTCATCAGTTTTACAACATAGGGTAACATTTATGTGGCAAAGAAGTAGAACCCTAGCAATCAACCTGAAACTATTTGTTTGTTGATGGTTTAAACCAGTGCTTCTTAAACTTTTTCTACTCATTACGCCTTTCCACATGATTTTTTTAATGTGATCCCAGGTATAATTATCTAAAATAGATAGAAAAATCAAACCTGTACTGATAATAAATCCACATTTGTAAGTCTTGCTAAACAGGCCGAATTTTCCTTTTGTGGAGTACAGCTGAAGCATTTTCTGCAGGGTGTGATGTAAACATGGTACATTGTTGCTAACATATTTGTGAAAATGGGTGGTGTTCAGAAACCTTTCACTGTTGCTAAATTTTTCATTACTCTGACACTGAGTAAAGGGGATCCATTTTGAGTCAGGATCCACAGTTTAAGAATAAGTGGTTTATATGGAAGGTTGTAAAGACTTCCTTTGTTCTTGGGACAACTTATCTGTGCAAACTCATCTCCCTTTACGAACCATCTAGAGATTTAAGGTCTGCGGGGAGGCCCTGCTCTTGGTCCCACCCCCTTTGCAAGTGCGACTGATGGGGATGGGAGGCTGGGGCTTTTTAGTGGTGGCCCCACAGCTGTGGAACTCCCTCCCCAGTGGCATTTGATTGGCCCTCTCCCCTCCTGGTGTTCAGGAAGAAACTAAAGACCTGGCTCTGTATGCAAACATTTGGGGAGTAAGGGTAACACAGAATCCTAGCAGATAATAACTGCGAGAAAACAAACAAACTGGAAATGATGACTTGGCACTTGGTATGTTTTTAATCTGTTTTACTGTTTTTAATCTGTTTTATTGTTTTATATGTTTTAATTATTTATATGTTTAAATGTTTTACAATTTGTTTGGCATTGTTATGTACACAGTAGGGCACTGAATTTTTGCCGTAGTTTATAAGGCTGCTTTGAGTTCCCTACGGGGTGAGAAGGGCAGAATATAAATAAAGTTAGTTAGTTAATTAATTAATTAGGAAAAAAGGTGGCTCCATGTGGTGAAGTCTGTTTATTGTACTTTCTTCAATAAGGAAAATGTTTTATGCCATCTTGACATTTTCATTTTGACAAGATTTGCCCATTGCCAATACAGCAAAGACCTATCTTTTATTTCATCCTGATCTATTTATTTTACTTTCAGTTAATAAATGACAAGATGATTTTTTGTTTCCTTCATATTTTAAGAAAGAATAGCCTTTAACATTTAATTGCTGTTTTGTTACTGAGTGAAAAATTTAGTTGGAAATGTGTTCCATCATGTAAAATTACTTATCCATTCTCCCAACCTGCTCTCCAGTATAATCAGCCAAGTTAAACCAAGAGGAGGGTAGCTCTTTCTTGCAATGTTTTGGTATGGGTTGCCATAGAATGACCTGCTAAAAGGGGAAAAGGAAGAAATAGGATGTAGTGCCACTGTTTGCAAAGGTGGCTATGATGTGGTACTGAAAATATTTGAGGACGCTTTTAGTAGGAACAAGATAAGTGTTAGCGTTAGCCTATCACACAAGTGCTCCATTTCCATCCATTAGTTATTAATTCAATGTGTCCATTAGTGTAGTATTCTTTGATATGACTAGGTAGATTAATTTATATTGCTTTCTGATTGATTATAAAACTAACTTGGTTGTCCTGGACCACAACTGGGGAAAACATGGCCTGTTAGAGATTTCTGTCCTGCCTTTCTCTTAAAACAGGGACTCAAGGTGTCTTGCAGGGTTTTTTTTAATAGCTTGAAGGAGAAAATGAGAAAAAAAACAGGTATGGCCAAATGGAAGGGGTGGGGTGGGGAATTAGCCTCTGAGCCTATATAGTTACCCATCCCTGTAATGCGCCATGAGCATGCAATTTGGGTGTTTTTTTTCTTCAGATGGTTTGGTCTACAATACATATCATTATATTTGGCAGTGTTGGCTGAAGCTGGAAGAGGGTCTGTTCCAAAACAATTCTGTAATTACTGGAGTTACCAAATCAGGAGAGAGTAATGAATCATTTTCTTATGTACCTTGTTTATATATGACCAATTAAGTAGCACTAATGATGACATCCACATGTTTTTAAAGAAGGTAGAACTTGTAATCACTAGTCTTGCATGGCAAGGCTGGACAAGCGCAAGATAAAATGAAATTAGTCCATCTGAATCTCTCTAATCCCAGGGATTTGGAAAATTACTGAAGGGAACTCAGGTCTAATTTTGTGCTATCACTGTAGCTGTGTCCCTGGGTTGGAAGATGCTTGCATCTGGTGTAGTTCAGCTCCTCTCTCATCTGTCTTTAACCATTCTTTATTTTTGGCTCTTTTGCTGGCAGATTAGCCAGAAAAAGCAGTTCTTTTGCCAGTTTTCTGAGATCAGATAGCATTAAAAGTGTTCCACTGGCAGAAGGGCATTTCAGTTTACAGAAAACGGTTGTGCATAATCCATTCATTTGCAGCTGGCACATTTTAAGTTTGAAATTAAAGCTCTAACATTTGGTTTCTCTGGTGTTCCACTGTATACTTGCAGTGTCCTAACACATTGTTTTCTCCCTTCTGCAGGACCACGATATGTTGTGCAAATAGGTGACAAAGTAATAGACTACAATGAAGAATTCCGGCTATTTCTGTCAACACGAAACCCAAATCCTTACATTCCACCTGATGCAGCTTCTATTGTTACGGAGGTTAACTTTACAATAACACGAAGTGGCTTAAGAGGACAGGTAGGCATTCTTAGCTCTTTTAATATACTTTTCATGATAACAAAAAAGCCCTACGAGGCATATATAATTTTGGAAAGATCCTGATTTGTTTCCCTCAAATGGTCTTAAATGGCATAAATACTACTAGTATGGAAAATATATTAATTGTTTTTTTACATTCTTTAATCTATTTGATATTTCCTGGTGTTTTTAAACTGATGAAAAACTAAAACTATTTTATTAACTTGTTCCCGATTAGATTAAGAAATCCTACTGCATTAAAGTAACTTGTTAAAAATATGCACTTAATGTTGAAGGACAGGATGCAAGAGTTCTTCTGAGTTACAAGCTGGGTAAATGCAGGGAGTGCCATAGATGTAGCATTTCTGGATTTCAGTAAGGTCTTCGACAAGGTCCTCCATGACCTTCTGGCAAACAAACTAGTCAAATGTGGGCTAGGCAAAACTAAGGTTAACTTGTTAAGCAAATGAACTGGTTAAGCAAATGAACCTAACCAATGCTTCCTCTTCATCCTGGAAAGAAGTGACAAGCGGAGTGCCGCAGGGTTCTGTCCTGGTCCTGGTCCTGTTCAACATCTTTATTAATGACTTAGATGAAGGGTTAGAGGGCATGGTCATCAAGTTTGCAGACAACACCAAATTGGGAGGGATAGCCAATACCCCAAAAGATAGGAGCAGAATTCACAACAATCTTAACAGATGAGAGAGATGGGCCAAAACTAACAAAATGAAGTTCAACAGGGACAAATGCAAGATACTCCACTTGGGCAGAAAAAGTGAAATGCAAAGATACAGAATGGGGGACGCGTGGCTCAACAGCAGTATGTGTGAAAAAGATCTTGGAGTCCTAATGGACATTAAGTTAAGCATGAGCCAACAATGTCATGTGGCGGCAAAAAAAGCCAATGGGATTTTGACCTGCATAAATAGGACTCTAGTGTCTAGATCCAGAGAAGTCATGCTACCTCTATATTCTACCTTGATCAGACCACATCTGAAATACTGTGTCCAATTCTGGGGACCACAATTCAAGGGAGATGTTGACAAGCTGAAATGTGTCCAGAGGAGGGTGACTAAAATGATCAGCTTAAGTCTGGAGCAGCTTAAGGAGCTGGACATGTTTAGTCTGTAGAAGAGAAGGCTAAGAGGAGATAAGATGACCATGTATAAATATGTAAGGGGAAGTCATAGAGAGGAGAGAGCAGGCTTGTTTTTTGCTGCCCTGGAGACTAGGACGCAATAGAACAATGGCTTCAAACTACAGGAAGGGAGATTCCACCAGTACATGAGGAAGAACTGTGAGAGCTGTTCAGCAGTGGAACTCTTTGTCCCAGGGTGTGGTAGAGGCTCCTTCTTTAGAGGAGTCGCCTAAGGGCTGAGAAGAGCGGTATACAAATAAAGTAAATAAATAATAGAGACTTTTAAACAGAGGTTGGAGGACCATTTGTCAGGGGTGCTTTGAATGTGATTTTCCTGCTTCTTGGCAGGTGGTTGGACTGGATGGCCCACAAGGTCTCTTCCAAGTTTATGATTCTCTGAATCTCTGGTCCGGAGAAAAGCTGCTCAACATCTGTTTAGTCTAGTTGTTTTTTGTGTGGTTCTGATATGCATGCAGCATTTTCCATTCTGTGTGCAGTGCCTCATTCTTGCTCTTGTTAGTATTATTTTCCTTTGATACTGAAATTGTCACATAGAAAAATGTGAGCATTGGGGCCTTCTTGTATGAAGTAGCTTCTTTGTTCTACAATACTTTACGATTCTACCCCATATATTCTTAAGCTTCCGGAATGATATAAGATGAAGTATGAGAACAGTAAGGGATGGAGAAATTAGCAGCTGATGGAAAATAATTCCAAATGCTTTTAACACTGTATTGTTCTCTTCTGCCATTTCACTGTTTGATTTGCCTTTCAGCTTTTAGCTTTGACAATCCAGCATGAAAAGCCAGATTTGGAAGAACAGAAAACAAAGCTATTACAACAGGAAGAAGATAAGAAGATACAATTGGCAAAACTTGAAGAATCACTTCTGGAGGTAATATCCACAGGTTTAAGAATAATCATGTATTTAAAAACAGCAGGCTTAACATTGCATAACATTTGTATGTTTTTGTGTATTTAAAATTGTTTTAATGGTTTTAACTGTTTATTTTTAATACTACCAATATTTAATCCTATTTAAATATTGGTATGTGCTTGGTTTTAATTCACACATTGTTATTGTTGTTTACTGTTAGCCATTTTGAGTCTCTTTTGGCAAAAAAGCAGGTATAAACAACAACAACAACATGTCGCTTGTGAAGCAAGCCACATGACGAGTAGTGAAACTTACTTCTGGTAAATGGATATAGGATTGAAGCATATCTGTCTTGTTTCTAGAGGTGGGGAATGCCCCACTCCAACATTTTGGCATCACAGTCTTGTTCTATTGAGGTTCAGTGCATGTATTAATGGTCCTAATGAGCTTAAAACAATCTATTGTTGGGAACATTTTGATTAGTTGATGAACAGAAAGAGTTTTTTTGACAAATAGCAATGCTTTCTGGAAATGGTATTTTGGGATTCCATTTCCAGAAATCCCAGTCAGCTTTTCAGCAGTCAAGAATCCTGGGAGCTGAAGTCCAGGATATCTAGAAAACCAACATTTGGGAACCACTGCTGTAAAGTATTGTTTAACTCATATTCACACAAAGCAATCTAAAAGGGATTATTATTGAACACACAAGAATCAAAATATGTCAAAAGTATGAAGATATGCCTTCCTAGTTCACATGCAAATTCCTTCTAGCTACCCACTACTTCTCAGAAAGTGCAAGGAAATCTTTGCTTGGCATCTCTTCAGACAGCAGTGTAAACTTCCAGGATATATGGAGCAATGACTTTGTAGCTGCAGCCTTTCTCCTTTCTCCATTTTTCAGTCCATCACTAAATAAACATTTAAGATGCCCTTTATTGAAGATGTACATAATGATAGTACTCAGTGACTCTTCTTGGGTTTCATTAGTTTATTTACAATGGGTTGCAGATATGTTTTTAGTTATCATAAAATACGTTGACGTTACATTGAGCAAATAGAAAAATTGTACGGGGAGGGTAGAAACTTCATTCTTTAAAATGATCTTGGAAGATCATTTTAAGAGTGACAGAGTAAAAACCATTATAAATGGCTTGCTATGCCACAAAACAAGGAAATTGATGGACTAGTGTTTCAGCTTCTAGGCCTCTCGGAAAGTTCTGTGATGTCACACTGCTGGTCAGTATCAAAATAATACAAGTTTGAACTATAATTCTTTGCTTTGTATAACACATAGCAAATGTCAATCTCTCATTGCGATTACTGAAATTATTCATTGTTTTTTATTCTTTGCTAGATGTGTTTAGGATTGCTGGTACTAAGAATTCAAGGCTTAAAATTGCAACGGTGTTTAATAAAAGGAACTGCAATTTTCTATTGCATGTCAAATAGATAAAATATGTGAAGCCATGTAATGCAAGATCCAGTAATTGCTGGTTTTTAGGAGAGAATGCTATTGTGTTTGAAAATTATGCCTGCAAAAAGAAATGGGGACACAAAACACTTTTGAAGTCAGCAGTGATTCCCTTTCTTTTACTAATATTTTCCCTAACTGATATAGTTAAAAGGACATTATAAACTGCTGAGATAGAAAATGCAAACTTATTATTTCATCTTTGTATGTATTCCTCAGCTATACATCATTGCCATTATCTTGATAATACTATCTGAACATTATATTTTTCTTTAAAAATAAAAGTTTTCTTGATTGATCCAAAATAGTTCCAAAATATTGTAGAGGGGAAAAGAAGAATGTTCCACCCATAAAATTTCTCAGTTCAGTATTATATTTTCAAGGTTTAAAGTGTTACTGTTTTTCTCCATATACATTTCATTGTTTTCTTAAAATGTCCACATTAATGGAAAATTAAATTTTCCCCCATTACAGACTCTTGCAACTTCTCAGGGAAACATACTGGAAAATAAGGATTTGATTGAATCCTTAAATCAGACTAAAGCAAGTAGTGCGCTCATCCAGGAATCACTTGCTGAGTTTCACAGACTTCAGATTTCTCTTGATCAGGTAACTTGCTTCTCTTAAATGTTTTGTTTTTGGATGTATTTGCTGTGTAATGTTCTTCTGTTGCTGTACCTGACCCCCTAGCTGAATTCTGCAGTATTCATTTCAAATTGTGTTATCTTATTCTTAAAGTCTGTAATTATTGGGTTGCTGTGATTTTTGCGGGCTGTATGGCCATGTTCCAAAAGCATTATCTCCTGATGTTTCACCCACATCTATGACAGACATCCTCAGAGGTTGGGAGGTCTGTTGGAAGCTAGGCAAGTGAGGTTTATATATCTGTGGAATGTCCAGGGTGATAGAAAGAATTCGTATCTGCTTGAGCCAAGTGTGAATGCTACAATTGGCCACCTTGATTAGCACTGAATGGCCTTGCAACTTCAAAAGACTGGTTGTTTCCTGCCTGGGGGATCCTTTGTTGGGAGGTGTTAGCTGGCCCTGATAGTTTCCTGTCTGGAATTCCCCTGTTGTTAGAGTGTTCCTCTTTACTTACTGTCCTGATTTTACAGTTCTTTAAATACTGTTAGCTAGATTTTTGGTCATTTTCATGGTTTTCTCCTTTCTGTTGAAATTGTCCACATGCTTGTGGATTTCAATCACTTCTCTGTGTAGTTTGTTATTATGTTTGTTATTTCACAAACCTTAGGGCACATTTATCTAGAATGATACTTTATAAGTATATGATCCATTCAGAGTTAAGCTTTGCCTTGGTTCCATTTTGTCTATATAAATCTGAGCAATTTCTGTTTAATCTAGATGTTTTGGGGGTGCCCTTAGGAAAATTAGAGGCTAGTGTGGCCATGAATTTCTGCAAAGGAACTGAAGGTCTACTATTGCTCTTTCTCTATTCCTCCATCAAACATAAAATATACAGCGAGGGAGTTGGTTGCGTCCAGGACCTCAAAATATATGGTTGAAGTGTCATATTTATAAAATGGCATAATAGATAATACAATATAACACATATTTTTAAGAATGGAATTAAAACAAATTCCAGATTTATCTCCATGTGATTGGCCTGTGGAATGCAGACTATCATGAACCTTGTCCCTATGGGCAGCTACTGAAAATAGGATTTTCCATGGAGGACTGTAGGACTTTGTTGCAGGACATGGGCTATGATTTGAGGAAAAGAGGACATTCACTTAAATCAGACAGAGACACTTTTTATTCCTCTTCCTTTCTTCCATATCACAGTCTACCCAAGAGAAAGTGAGTTGTTGCTATAAGAAGGGGCAGAAAAATCTCCTATTCAGCCCAGTTGCATGTGCCTATATCTAATGCTAAAGCTACATACACAGATAAGGAATCCTTTCTATCAAGTATATATGCAGGTTAATTTACTGGCAATATTTACTGTGGAGCTTTATCTGATTGAAATTACTTTATTTTTTGTGCCCAGTAGGTGGCAATAGTATTCTAATATTGAATCTTTTTTTTTTTCAGGAAAGGGATGCCTATCTCCCTCTGGCTGAAAGTGCCAGCAAGATGTACTTTATTATTTCTGACTTGTCCAAAATTAATAACATGTACCGTTTTAGTTTGGCTTCCTTCCTGAGACTTTTTCAAAGAGCTCTACAAAGTGAACTGGTATGTGTTATTATTCTGAAACAGATAATGTTATTTATTTTTGGAGTTTTATATATGCATTGGTTTTAAATTGTTATTTGCCTGAAGTAGTAGGAATTGGACTGACTTAAATAGACTTGGAAAGGAAAAGGAAGAAATAAAGGGTACCAATTTATTAGTGAGATCACAAAATGTCTGAGTGCTCAGGATGTTTTAAATAAGAACATAAAATTAATACTGACAGTACTGCCTAGCATACCTTGTGCTGCCAGTGTATGACTAAAGAGAATTTCCATCATAAATGAGGTATGGAATCTGCTTATACCTAAATAAAGAACGGTCAATCTTTTAAAGATTCATGCCTTTAAAATGTAACATAAATTCTGAAAGGCAGGTTGAGATGATGATATTGTAATGTTATTTATGTAAAAAAATAGCCTCACTAGTTATTTGCTAATTTGTAAATTAGGCAAATACTTCCTGTATGCATCAGAATAAGGAACAGTCTGGATTAATACCTGTACTAATGGTAGCATGAGTCAGTATTTCAGTTTGTTCTTTTTCCAAAAGTACTTTTTAAAGGCCCCCTTGGTGGCGCAGAGGGTTAAACCACTGAGTTGCTGAACTTGCTGACCGAAAGGTTGGTGGTTCGAATCTGGGGAGCGGGGTGAGCTCCTGCTATTAGGCCCAGCTTCTGCCAATCTAGCAATTCAAAAACATGCAAATGTGAATAGATCTACAAGTATCTCAGGAAAGTAACAGTGCTTCATGCAGTCATGTTGGCCACATGACCTTGGAGGTGTCTAAGGACAATGCTGGCTCTTTGGCTTAGAAATGAAGATGAGTACCACCCTATAGAGTCGGACACAACCAGACTTAACGTCAGGGGAAACCTTTACCTTTAACTTACTTTTTAAAAACCTAAGGGTAAGGAAAGGAAATCGTTTTTCTAGCTAAGCAGTTTAAACATGTTTCTCATTTACTACAGCAAAAATACTAAACTATGAAACCCCCCTTGGTGGGGGGGGGACACATCCAATTACTACACAATATATACCTTGACTTAGAATTATAGAATCATAGAGTTGAAAGAGGCCATCCAGTCCAACCCCTGACCAAGAAGCAGGAAAATTGCATTCAAATCATCCCCAACAGATAATCATCCAGCCTCTGCTTAAAAGCCTCCAAAGAAGGAGATAAATTCTTCTGAAATTTCTTTTTTACATAACCAGACCTGAGTGTGCAATCCTGTGGTCTTTAGGAAGGCATCTAAAGATTAATCTACACTGTAGAATTAATGCCGTTTGACACCACTTTTAATTGCCACGAGTCAGTGCTATGGAATCATGGGAGTTGTGGTTTGACAAGGTCTTTAACCTTCACTGCTGAAGAATGCTGGTGCTTCATTGGATTGCAAGCCCCATAGTCATAACAAAGGGTATAGTTTACTTGGGGTTTTTCCTTAAAGGATATACCAAATTGATATAGTTTGAAGCAGTAGATAAAATACTGTATTTTACTCAAGTCTAATGCACCATCGAATATGCGCACCTCAATTTCCAAAACCCTGAAACCAAGTATTTGCAACCAAATGTAATGCCCAGCAGCAAAATGCACACTTTTTTGTAATTTGGCCATTAAAGATGCTGCCTGCTTAGAATTCCTTTCTTAAAAACTAAAGTGTTAGAATACCAAAGCTTTCAGCAGTGGAAAAGAAAACCTTGAATGCATCTATGCTATAGAATGAATACACTTTAATGGCCCTGGTTCAATGTTGTGGAGTTACTGGGCTGTAGTTTTACAAGGCCAAAGAATGCTGATGCCTCAGCGAACTGCAAATCCCAGAATCGCATAGCATTGGGCTGTGACAATCAAATTAGAGATGGCGGCTCTCGAATAGGAGCTCCAGGGGCTCCTGAAACAGCTTCCTCTTTTGCTTTGTCTTAGCACTAAGAATATTGTATTATGCAAATCTAATGTGCACCTTCATTTTGGCAAGGTAATTTAGCCAAAAAATGTGAGCATTAGATTTGAGTAAAAGTAATATGCAAAGACCATAGCTTGCAGGTGTAACACATGTTTAGCATTCATAGAATTCCCAGTCCAGCCCTCAATATCATCAAATAAGGCTAAAAAAATCATTCATCTAAAATCCTAGAGAGCTTTTGTCTACCATTCTCGGCTAGAATTATCTAATTCAGTATAAGGCACCTTCCAGGGTTCTTACTTTGGAATTACACATGGAAAGCATCTTATCTTAGTTGGTATTACAAGCCCCCGGGGTGTCGTTATTGATTGTGGATAAAGCTTTCCAGTGTTCCATTATTTTTGTTTCCTATTAGGAGAATCGTAATAGTTCTACTGTAAAAATTATTTTGTATGACATGAGCCAGTGGTTTGAGTATTCAAATCCTATTCAGCCATGGAAGCCAATTGAGTAATTCTGGGCAAGTCAAACTCTTTCAATCTCATGGTAAGACAAGGGTAAACCCCTTCTCAACAAATTCTGCCAAGGAAATCATGTGATAAGTTCACCATAAGTCAGAAATGATTTGAAGACACACAACAGCAAGAACAGTATAAACATATTATTACTGTCCAATGGATGTAACTCCTTTCTGCTCATATTGCTGGTGATTTCTGACTTCTATCTTGGATTAACCAATTGCCATTGAATATATACATTATTTTCTATCTGTACACATTCACAGAAAGCTCCTTGGCGACTCTTAAGATATTGTTAGGGTCATTTCAGAGATCTTTGATCCATAAAGTGATATTTAGTACTTAATATTTTAAAATCTCCAAATCCTCCTTTTCAGGATTTGGGAAATACTGAGGAAAGAATAAGATCTCTTATCAGCTCATTAAAACACATGGTATATGAATATGTCTGCCGCTGTCTGTTTAAGGTGAGATTTTATTTTCCTTTGCTCTGATTTACAGTGCTGAATGTAAAATTATATTCCCATAGTAGTCATAGTTTGGCTCTATTGAATATATGGATCAGTAGATATGCAGTAATGCTATATTTTGTTATTTGTTGGTGAGAGGTATTTTCTTTTTACTCATGAGAACTGTATGCACTACGCAGCTGCTTTTTGTCTTATTTGGCCGAACAAATGAGTCTCCAGCTTTGTGTGCAGCCTTTTTCTCACCTTGGGACCATTGCCTTATTACAGCACTGAGGCAACATTAACTTCAGAAGCACCATTGCTTGAAATAAGGAAAGCAAGCTTGTCCAAAACAAACAACACTCTTTCAGGGTTCTCTAATTGTTTTCTTGATAATAATTCTTTACTAGGCACGGAATGCTTAGCTCATAAAATCATCAGAGCTGTGTTTGTTCTATTTTCTTAGAGAAACTCATATACTGGAGAGATCAGGCTCTTTAGCCGTGCCAAGGCTTTTACAATGCATCTACTTTCCTTTCTTTATTCTAGTTAGGACAGCATGTACAGTATGGTTCTTCTTTGATAATGGCAGCTTGTATGAGAAAAGAGAAAGTGCAGTGATATCTAGGTGAACAGATGCTGGAAAACTTCATCACCAACAAGAGCTGGACTCCATTCATTCATTGTCTGCCAACAAGGGTTGTGTATTGATCTCATCCCATTGCTGGTTTTAGTGATTATCTAATTTGCCTCAGGTCTGAGTTCAAACCCATATCTTCATGCCTTCCATTGACTTGTCATTGGAAATAAACAAACAGGTGCAATGTTTTGTTCTTATTCATTATATATGGATGGGGTTTGCAGTCATAGTAGCCCGAGGAGAAAGTTATGCTTGCCAAATGATTTACATAACTTAAAATTTGCTCAGTCTTTAAAAGAAGGAACTGGTGATAATTTTTCATTTTGGTAGAATTCAAACTTGTTACGTATCTGGCAAATAGGTGCAGGGATTTGTGTGTAAGAAATAGTTTTTATTACCCCCATGTTTTCCCAGAATGGATGCATTTGTACTCTTTGTAGGCAGTTGTTATGACAGTAATATATTTTAGAGTGATATGTGCGGAGTACTGAATAAAAAAGAACTACTTATATTTTGATAAGGAGAAGACAAGTGAGTTATGTGATTTGATTATCCTCCTTCATGCAGCTTGTATGACTGAAAGACATATGACAGATATATTTCTAGGCACGAAACCTGCAGAATTACAGTTCAGTTCATTTACTTTAAAGTCACAGATTCATTAAAAACAGAAAACAATGGAGTGGAAATTTAATAATTAAAACATACATTGTGATGCAGTTTTTTTTTTAAAAAAAACCCACACACATAACAATGCAATTGTTACAAAAGAATCATCCTGCGAGACTTTGGAAAGAGAACAGAAATGTATCCACTAACTATAGTTAACTTGTTTGTTATCCAAGAAATATTTCAGGTACTACTGCAATGTCTTTGGGGGATATTTACTCAAAATAGGACAAAATTATAGCAGAGTCTATTGAGACAAAGAAAAAAAGATATATGATCTAAGGTTTTGACTACATCTCAAGTGATCTTCATAAGGAGTATGTTTATATCACCCTTCCAATATTGTTGAGATCGGGTAGTTAAATCTGGCCCTAGAAAACAATTGGTAAAACTTGGGGATTGTCAAATCTTCCATATATCTAGCATAGGAAACTGAAATTTATTGATAGAACTTTCTGTGGGCATTTGATAAACAATATTGGAAATTAGTATCTTCAATATGTTGTTTAAAAATATATTTCACAGCACAATCTTATGTGTAAGACATACATAAACAGGTCCAGTCAATGCAGTTTAATAGTAAACATGAGTTGAAAGTATAGCTGATAATAAAATATTTTTGTAATAGTGAAAGGCAAAGGACTCAGTTTTCATTCTATAGATGCGAGGTCACCCTCCATCAGTGAACCAGCACTTGACACACACCTTGGCATGCAAAAAAGAGAATGCAAAAATGTTTCAGCTGTATTCTGACATGAGATTAATACATATAAGGGTACAATATAGCGACTGGGACAAGATTTTGGCCTTGTATACTTGTAAGACAGCAGGAATAAACTGCACCTCCTTAATACAGAAAAGTAGTGGCTTAAAATAATTCTGAGGCACCTGATCTGTGGGTGGTCTGGAAGAATTTGGAGAGAAATAGCATAATATTTAACTTGTTCTGTATGCTGTGCTATATATGCTCTATATATCTGAAGAAATCATTTGTTTTTCTAAAATTTGCAGTCAGCAATAGATAATGTAAAAAAAATGAAGCCTGTTCTAGGCAACAATACAGTCTGACATCCTAAACACAGAACAGCAGGACTTCAGTTCTGGGCAATTTAAGTGCATAGAAGAAAGGTGCTATGCAGTTGAATTAAATCAGGCTGATTTAGATAAATACTGCAGGTGCTCAGCTTGAAGCAGATCTTGATATCTCTTATGCAGATCCAATTTGGAATGTGTCCAAATCTGAAACACTTCTTGTTCTGGCCACCCATAGTGGATATATGTGTTTTATGCCAGAACAAGAACACCTCCGTCTTTAAACACCACACCAGTTTAGTGAAATCAGCAAGCAATTTATAGAAAGATATATGTGAGCAAAACTGTGTATAGTGAACAATCTCTTCCAACAACCTAAAAGACAGCTTTATACATGAACTTCACCAGATGTGAATGCCGAATTCAGATTGACTATATCCTTTGCAGCCAAAGGTGGCGGACATACATCCAGTCGGTGCAAACAAGATCTGGAGCTGACTGTAGTTCAGATCACAAATTTCTTATTGCATAATTTAGAGTCCAACTAAAGAGATTAGGGAAAACACACAGACCAGTTAGATATGATCTCACTAACATTCCTAGTGAATATGCAGTGGAGGTGAATAATAGATTTAAGGGGTTAGGTTTAATAAATAGAGTACCATAAGAACTATGGACAGAAGTTCACAACATTGTTCCAGAGGCGGCAACAAAGTACATCCCAAAGAAAAAGAAAACCAAGAAGGCTAGATGGCTGTCTGCTGAGACACTGGAAGTAGCCCAAAAAAGAAGGAAAGCAAAAGGAAACAGTGATAGGGAGAGATGTGCCCAATTAAATGCACAATTCCAGAGGTTAGCCAGAAGAGATAGGGAGCTATTTTTAAACAAGCAATACGTGGAAATGGAAGAATACAATAGGATAGGAAGGACAAGAGACCACTTCCAAAATTAGAAACACTGGAGGTAAATTTCAGACAAAAATGGGTATGATCAAAAACAAAGATCGCAGGGACTGTTGCAATCCAGAGCAGGGAACGAGGCCCTCAGATAACTATCCACCACACTTGGCTGTGAAAAACAATCCTTTTTTATTGAAGAAAAATGGTTACAAAATAAAGGAAAAATGCAAGTCAAAAGCCACAGCAAAATCAGCAAACATGAATTTAAATGGACAAAGCAAAACCAAAAGCCTCACTGGGAAATACTGGAATCTGTTAGCAATCCACTAACCGTACTTGATATCCTAGAAATCTTCCCAAACTATGGCCAGGGAACCGGGAGAACTGCCAAGGTCTTCATCAATTCTGAAACGATGCCTGAACTGAGACAATCAGCCCGGCGTATTGCAATTAAAACTCAAGAATTGGTTCCGTGAACCGCCCTTCTGTTTTGAAGCCAATGTTTTTAATTCTTGAATTCGGGAGGATCGACGCAAACTGAGTGTTTTACTTCTGTCTTCCCAAATTTGGCCCCTTCTGTTGTCATTACAGTTAACAGGTGCAGAAGGGAGGGAAAGTTCAAGGTCTCCCTCTGAAACATTCTCATGAACACTGGTACTTTCATTTTCCAAATCTACAGAAGTTCCTTCCTCACTAATTTCAGGAACATTGGCATTTTCCAAACCTACAGAAGTTTCTTCCTCACTAATTTCAGGAGCATTGGCATCAAAAGGTACATTTCCCCTAGCATCAGTAAATATACTTTCATTAGCATCAGGAGGAACAAACAGAGAATCAGGTTCAAGTTCAAACTCAGGCTGAACCCCAACACTATCCCCCCCCAAGCCCCCCCCCTTGGCCCTCCCCGAGGCCGGGGCTTGGCAGGGTAAGCTCGATGAAAGCGAGTGCGACAAGGTCAGGAGCATGTACGTCCCGAGCATCAATCCAGGATCGCTCCTCAGGTCCATACCCCATCCAGTCGACCAGATACTGTAGTCTGCGGTGTCGGAAGCGGGAATCTAAAATGTTTTGAACTTCAAACTCCTCTTCCCCCTCCCGAAGTACTGGGGGAGGTGGCGGTCCCCTCCCTGGATCTGGACGTATCCCATCAGCCGGTCGTAGCAAAGACCGATGAAACACAGGATGAATACGCATGTCCCGGAGAAGTTGTAACTTGAAAGTCACTGGGTTGATACGAGCCAACACACGATAAGGTCCCACAAACCGAGCATCAAGCTTCCGGCAGGGTCGTTGGAGGGGGAGATGTTTGGTAGACAGCCACACCCGTCCGCCTACCTGGATCTCCGGCCCTTCCTGCCGGTGTTGGTCAGCAGCCCGTTTTTAATCCAATTTGGCTTGCTCCAGCTGTGCCTTTAGAACTTCTTGTACCGCGATTAACTCCTGAAGCCAATCTTCTGCGGCCGGAATATTCCCCAACTCTATTATCGTTGGGTAGTAGCGAGGGTGGTATCCATAGTTGGCGAAGAACTCCTGGGTGGAACTCTGCGTGGCGTTATTATAAGAGAATTCTGCCAGTGAAAGCAAGGATGACCAGTTGTCTTGTTGATAATTGACATAGCATCGTAGATATTGTTCCAAAGTAGCATTGACCCTCTCTGTTTGGCCATCCGTCTGAGGATGGTGCACGGTAGACATCCGGGCGTCAATGCCCAATAATTGTTGAACCGCCTTCCAAAACTGCGAGGTAAATTGTGCTCCTCGGTCGGTAACAAGGCTCT